GGCTGGACAGTCCAGGTTTAACCACCAAGATTAAAAAGGAAAAAAAAAAAAAAAGAAAAAAAAAAGACAATAACAATAGCATTCTGGTTATATTTTGCATTTGAACCAGTGAAACATAGGCTATCAGACAATAGGAAGGATAAAGGACAACAGAACAGTACATTTCTCAGAGAAAATGCCACAATAAACATCACTGAAGAGATTGGGTACAGGATCTCAGGCAAGGCAGGAAGAGAGTGAAAACAAGAGGTGGAGAGTTATTGTCCAGAAGCATGTCCTAGAGAGTTGCCACCTTCATCACCACAGGTCTCAGCCTAAGTGCTTTTGAATCTATTTGGAGTCTGTGAGACAGCGCAGAGGTGGTGACCAGAGCTCAGCCCGTGCACCAGTCCCACGCCTTCACTGGCCAAGAGTGTTCTACCAAGGAAAAGTTCAGGATGTGCTTCAGATATGATGTGGCCTGACGGATAGAACCAGCCCACACTCCTTCCCAAGGGTGCAGTTTTCATCCCAGAGAAGGGCTATGAAATCTACAGCCAGAGGAGCATAAAACTCTTAAATCACCATCTGTGCCCATTCAACAGGGAAAGACAGAGCACATAAATCTCCACGGGCTCCCTTTTACTAAGAAGGATAGCCAGGGACTTCTTTTCTGGTGGCATTTCAAGTGCCTTTAATCAGACACGTCATTTGGGTTAGTCTAAAAGGATGTTTAGTGCCTGTGTCTTGCCAGCTGGCTCCCCTTCTTGTTCAGGCTAATCCCAGCATCACACACAGACCAGACCAGACCTTCAGGGCTCATTTGGATGACAAAGTGACCAGAGTAGGAGAGGACACTCAGTGGCTGGTCAGGTCACATGGCTCTGAGAAGTACTGGGTCTGATCCTAAAATATTCCATTGCTGTCATTAAGCAAGTATCCAAAGTGAGTCAAAGGTCTCTTAGCGTTCCCATAACAGTGAATGGCCGTATCAGGACTGTCAGGACAAATCAGTGATTAAATCAGGTGTCTCTACACTGTTGGTTGGGCCTGGGACAAAGACCAGTTCTGGGATGGAACAACCCCACTCTGCAAGCTTGTAGTAAGCAGCTGCCTGATCCCAAGATCTTGTGCTGCCTGGAGGAGGTGGGTGCCAGCACTGGTGGCCTCAGCATCATCCTCTCAATGGCTTTGACCTATCTTGGTATGGGCAACATAGAAAACATCCCATCACCACCTGTCTGCAGATGTTCCAAACATAGTTCTTCGTAGCAGAGGATTTGAACAGACAGCAGCAGGGACAGAAATGCACAGGTCTGGGAAATCAGGTCTGTTCTCCATGTCAATACTTGGATGTGACTGCAGAGGTTTAGATTGCAAATTAGGGGAAATTTCTTGACCAAAAGGTCTGTCTGCCCTGGCAGAGGCTGCCCCAGGACAGTGGTGGAGACCCCATTCCTGGAGGGATTTAAAAGCCATGTGGATGTGGCACAAAAAACTTATAAACACTTCCTGTGTCTTCTTCCATCCGCAATGCTCTGCCTATAACACAAGCTGTGCTTTTCAAACCATAATTACCCACTAGAAGAGTATTACCCAAATATCCATTTAATTGTCTTTAGCTGATGTTCAACAGAGGCAACAAGGGCTCACCAGCACCCCCGTTCTTGCTCCACAGATTCACCCACCCAGCTTTGGTGATGGGACAGTTCCAGACCTTGGAGCAATGATATGAAAGGCAGGAGGACTTTCCAGGTCAGGAGCATTTGTAAGGGGCTGAGCAAACACCACAGGCAAGCGACTGAGCCTATAGACTTTCAAAGTGGATCAGGAGTAGCCTGACACAGTGGTGTCTGTGTTCTGCAGCAACGCTCAATGCCGGGAAGCAGGATCAGTGTCACCTGCAACAATGGTGCCTGGCTTTGATACTCTCCATCCCTCCCACCCTTTCCACCTTCCTTGCACTGCAGGTTTTCCTGTTGCTGTTTTTCTCCCTCCATCTTGGCCAGGATGAAGTGGATGCAGGGGGGAGATGGGCCGCCCACAGCAGCTCCCCGAGAAGGGGAGCACAGCTCCACTTTCTCCTGCTCAACTGACAGAGACCAGACAAAGGGAAAACTCCTCTGGCCTCCCAGCTTGCCCTCCCAGCACTTCCCAGAGCCAATCCCTTCAGGGAAGAGAGCCAGATGTGACAAAACATAAGGGTTTTGCAACGAACATGTGTGTGTTGGCACTGGGGAGGACTGGGGAGGACTCACACATGCTGCTGAAGTAATTGAAGTAGAGAATGTTGGAGCTGATATTAAGACCCAAAGGGAGAGAGGGGGAACAGTTGCCTTCACTCTGGTCACTAAGTGGCTGCATTGTCAGCACAGATATAGCCACATATAAGACTCCTTGTTTCGATCCTCAGTGACAAACCTGGGACCAGGAGGGTCGAGCTGTGCTGTGCTCACCTCCAGCCACGTGCTGCAACCTGGGTGCAGATCATCACTGACTAATCACAGAGCCATGGGAACATTTAGTATGGAAAAGCCCTCTAAGATCATGGAGTCCAACTGTTCCCCAGCACTGTCAAGGGCACCACTAACCCATGTCCCCAAGTGCCACATTCACAGGGCTTTTAAATCCCTCCAGGGATGGGGACTCCACCACTGCCCTGGGCAGCTTGCCAGGGCTGGACAGACCTTTTGATCAAGAAATTTTCCCTAATATCCAATCTAAACCTCCCCCTGTGCAACTTAGGGTCATTTCCACTCACCCTATTGCTTATTACTGGTGAAAAGAAACATTAATATGGAAGGCATCCTGGTTTTGGTGTTGGAACAAAAGCAGAAATCTTAGATATCATTTAAGCACAGACCTGGAAAAAGACATGACAGAGTCTGTGGATTATACAGCCACAGATGATGCTGTTTACAAGATTTTTTGGCTGATTCAAACAGGTAGTAAATATTTTCAGCTATACATTATCAATTCTGTATTTTAAACATTAAAATGCTTCATTTCAAATACCCATCACATGGTCCAAAAAGAAAATCAGCCCACAGAGAAAACTCAAAGGATTTATACTTCTGCATTGATTTACCAGGTATTTTTTTAGGAGATGCTTGAGTCAAATATTAGAGAGGAAGAGGTTCATACTAAGTGTTAACTGCAGCTATTCTTCATATGAATCATTTATGCTTCACTGTAAAAAGATGTTTTTAGCATGGATTTCACTTTAATCTTTTACTTCAATACACTAAGTCCCACTGTGCCATTAGTGGTGAAATGCTTAAAAAGAATCACAACACCAAAAACCTCACATCACAAGTAGATGAAATCAAACAGTATATGGAGGAAGAAGAAGGCAAAAATACACAGAAAAGGCACATATCACAGAGGGGATAAGGATACAGGTCTCTTATTTGCTGTTTCCGTCACCCATAGCCTCAGGTTTCTCTGCTGCTGGTGGTCTGAACTATGTTTTACAGCTCATAAGGACAGTTTGCAAAGTAATTAGACCCTGGGTCCTGATGCTCCTGCTCAAGGATGGCATGTACAGGGACTGCACAAGGCTCTAAGTCATTATTTGAAGTAACACCACCCTTGGCTGAATAGTAACCATACATAACATCTGGGTACTCTCAGAGCCTCCTCCAAAATGTCTGGGAAAAAGAAATCCTTTCCTTCACAAAGACTCTGACCAGGACAAAGAGCTCAGAAAGAGGCAAACACACTTCACGCTACCAAATCTCAAAAGTCCCTCTTCTGGGAGATTTTGCACAAGCTAAGAAGGGAACATACGGGGAGAGTTTCAGGAGAAGGGGTAAGAAGCAAAGGGGAGCAAAGGGAAGGCGCTGGCTCCTGGCACAGCGAAAGTGGCAGCAGCGACTCGGCAGCATCTTGCATTGGCTCTGGGAGCCCTCCAGTGGCTGCGAGCCCACGGCTGCCTGCAGCGGGAATCATGGAATTGTTTGGAATGGGAGGGACATTAAAGCTCGCCTCGTTCCAGCCCCCTGCCGTGGGCAGGGACACCTTCCACTAGTCCGGGTTGCTCCAAGCCCTGTCCAACCTGGCCATGAATCCTGTGGGTGCTGCTGTCCCAGTCCCCACCCAGGAGATTAATCAGGCAGATATCAGCCTTCCCTGGCCTAAGGCAAAGGCAGCAAACCTCAAGCTAAACCCAGACAGGGAATACATGCCCCAAGGTTAAATTTAAACAAATCATGGGATCACCATATGGGAGATGACATAAGGGGACCATGGTCAGCTCTCCACAAGCCCCAAATTCTGCAGATTAGCAAACTGCACAGTAAATTGAGAGAAAAGCTAAACCCAGAAGGAATAAAGCGAGCATTTGCACAAGGATGTTGGGCAAAAGCTGGAAGTCAGCTTATTTCAAACACAGTTTAACAACAAGCAAGGAATGATTCACAACTCATTAGGGTCATGTGGGTCTTGACAGAGCAGGGTCACAATGAGCACCAGCACTCACCCACCACTGAACCCTGGCACAAGTGCTCAGATGATTTCAAAAGAAGTGTGTTTTGGGGCGGTTTGTTTTATAACAACGAGTGAGCACAAGGTGTAAAGCATAGTTGGCTTGCAGGCTCCAGGTTCAGGAGGGGGAACTGCTTCTAACCAGGAAAGAAAGGGTCTGGCTTGGCAACCCTTTAGGCAGGTTGCAAGGGTTTGCTCCAGGCTGGTGAGTTGGTGGCACTGGAAAGCAGTTCCCTCCCGCCCCATCACACACCTGGTGTGGGTGTTTGCAGCCCCAACCTGCAAACCCCTTCCTTTAGCTGGAAAATCGTAATGCCCTGATTCCCTCTGGTGTAATTTTCATATGACTGACCACAGAACTATTAATATCTGAACTCAGAGCTAGTTCAGCTAAACAGCTCACTCCCTCCAAGGACAGGAAAACCACAACTTCTTCCAGCCCTGGAAAAACCTTTTGTGCCTGCAAGGCCATCAGCTCAGATGTAATGAGGCAGTTCTGGTTTGCTGATGCACCTCAGGGGAGAAGGTCAACCAGCATGAGAGAGTTTGGCTTGGTTCTCCTGTGCATCTCCAGGAAGGGTGAGTTCTGAGCTTTGCTGAGATTGCTACCAATCCTTGTCTGATCAGGGCTTTTCCCCTCGCTCTAGACAAAGTGCCAGGGGCATCATCAGCCTAATGCAACAAACTCTCCAAGGATTGCACCATCCATCACGTCGCTTAAAAAGGATCTTGAAATTCCAGGTGCATGTGAGAACACTGGAAAAATTCAGACCTGGCTCAGCAGTTGTCAGAGAGGGTTTCAAGTTGTGATTGTGGGGGTGGTGGTTTGCGTGTTTCTTTGGTTTTTTTAACTTGTGCATGGAGTTCATCTAACTTCTCCCCAGATTTGTCGGGTAGATTTCCATCCCCACCCAGAAGTGCTGCTTCACGTTCCTAGGAGGTATTATGCAGCAGACACAATTTTCTCCAGTTCCACTGATCACTTAAGCTCACATTTAAGTTCAACATGCACTTAAATTCCATTAAACTTGATGGGAGTTGCTTAGATACACTGTCAAACAGCATTTGCTAGAGCAAGGATGGTGCCTGGGGTGGTCTGCAGCTCTTGTTTTTGTCTTCACAACCTTCCCATAGACAACCAGCAGGTGCACTGACCTGCAACTCCTTTTGGGAGTTACCCTCTGTGAGGTGTGCAGGCTATTTTCCCATGAACTTCTCTCTCTCTGTTATAAGAGCTTCAATTCCAGGAACAAATGGAGGCTGGATATTAGCAAAAGGAATAATGGAAGACCTGAAGTTTTAAGGTTAAGAGTAAATTATACACAGAATGTTGACAACTCCCTCCACTCATAACTAGGCAGACTGTGTTTCCATGGAAATGGGTGGAGCTGGTAACATTAGATGCACTTATTTTTAACATTATTTTTCATCTGGAAGACAAGGGGAGGCTTATGTGCTAGAAAAATAAAGTGTTCTTTGCTCAAGATTTAAAACAAAAAAAAAAAACAAGTCAAAGAGGTGACAGAGAAAAGCAAGTCAGGTACTCAAAAGCACATGATCTGCAGTTCTCAAGAAGTAAAGGTTACAGTGACATGCTGTAAAATAACTAGAACAAGGACAAATAAACTTGAAAACAATAGCAATTTCTGTTTTCATTGCCAGGTCCTTGTGCTTAAAGTCCACGAGCTTCCTGAAGCTCCTGCAGTCCTGTAGCTTTGTATATGACATTACCTGGGCAGGAAAAGGTGCCCATATTGTTGAAAGACAGGGCAGCCCGACTCCAGATCTCAGTAATCAAAATACTGGCTTGGAGCTGATTCCAGGTAAATAAATGAACAGCAGAGAACCAGCCCTGGGATGGCCTTTGTCCATTGTGCTGTGCACAATAGATTAATACAAGCTGCACTGCCCCCGATGTATTTGTCAAGTGTTGTGGACAGCAGACACAGGAACAAAAAACAAATCTTATCTTTGAGTCTATAGGATTAATCTGACAGCTGAATGCCCACAAAACGTGGTGAAGCCTGCTAGACCAGGGCTGGAATTGCTTACAGGGCACCTTTACATTTTATGGGTATTCTCAGCTACTGAGGGGAGAGCTGATTTAATGAAGCTGTCAAGTGAGTTTTATAAGACAGGAACATAGACACAGATGTTTCTGAGACCACAGTCTGCTGCTACAGCTGTTGATTCTAGCAGGACAGGGGGTAGACAGACATACCTATATATTAAACTGAAAGAGGGGACATTTAGATTAGATATTAGGAATAAATTCTTCCCTGTGAGGGTGGTGAGGCCCTGGCGCAGGTTGCCCAGAGAAGCTGTGGCTGCCCCATCCCTGGAAGTGTCCAAGGCCACGTTGGATGGGGTTTGGAGCAACTTGGTCCAGTGGAAGGTGTCCCTGCCCATGGCAGGGTGTAACAAAATGGTCTTTAAGGTCCCCTCCCACCCAAACCATCCTGTGATTCTATGATGTCTTTTTGCTCCCAGGTGTGCAGTCCAACAGCTGGTCCGTTCACGTCCCATCTGATGTTACTGGTGAGCTTGGGAAGATGGTGATCCTGCCCTGTACCTTCACACACCCCTACAAAGCCTTTGACCGGACTCTCACTGCCATTTGGAGGATCAAGGAGCCTTACAACGGCACCATAGTGTTCAAGTGTGTGAGCCAGAGCACCAGCGAGCTCTGTAAGACTGCCATCAGCTACAAGAACAAGTACAAACTGCTGGGCAACCCCCGGCACAAGGACCTCTCCATCAGGATTGACAACCTGACCTGGAGCGACAGCGACAGATACTTCTGCAGAGTGGAGCTGGCCGGAGACATCCACGACAAGTATGAAAGCAGGAGTGGGATAAAGCTGCACTTGATTGGTAAGAGGAGTGGGATAAAGCCACATTTGATTGGTAAGAGGGCATGAGAGCCACGGGAGGAAAAGCCATCCTGTAGGAAGACAAGAGCCACAAGGTGTGGAAACTGATGGGACAGTAACAGGAGTTTACCTGAGACGTTTTTCCGAATGGCTGGCTCTTCTGGCTCAGTGGACAGTTTAGAGCATTTGGGCAGGGAATATTCACTGTCTTCCTCAATCCAGGGGAGGGAATAGGAACAGAACTGGTAAGGAAATAGCGAGGCTCTGGCAGCTGGAGTTAGAGCTCCAAAACCTGGGCATCTCGCTTTGGATGCAGGAAACAATAAGGGTACAAACAGCCTGAAAAAAACAAACAGCCTAAAAAAAACATCTCGGAGCAACAAATGTCAAATGCTAATGCCACTGCTCCCTTAACTGTGAGCTCACAGATAAGGGAGAGCTGTGAGAGCCTTGGAAACAGACTCAGTGGCCTTGGAAACACTCAGATCTTACCCATGTCATGAGGTTGGATGGTTTTGCTTGTGAGAGAGAACTTCCTTATGCCTGCTGTGCACTGTGGACATCCAGATGGTCCTGAGGTTGAGCTCAGTTACTTCTTGGGAAGTTCTACACAGTCGAGGCTCTCCTTCCCTTGGGTCCTAAACACCCACACACAGCATGACCAGGGCATGATGACAGCAAGACCTGTCTCTCATGGGCTGTCCAGACTTTAATACCATAAGGAATGATAACACACACAGACACAGTACCCAGGCTGTACCTTGCTTGGGAATGGACCCTGACAATATGACTGGGAAGGGCTAAATAATGATTAAAAAGTTAATTTAGACACCAAAACACACAGACATACGACACACCACCTGAAACTCCTCTTGCATTACACAGACAAGGGGAAAGATGTGCTGTAGGCGGTTGCAAAAGATATTTTTGGTTTTTAGCCTGTAAAAAAAAAAAAATGAATTCCTGCTCTTCCTCTGTAAGGGCACTCACGTAGCTCCCTTCACTTTTCACAACACCTTTAGGAACCAAATGCACTAAATGAGTCAGGAGAGCTAAGAGGAGAGCATTGGTGGGTAAGACAAGCTTGGTCACAGCAGCTACACTTCCTTAGCAGACTAAACTGACAGTGACATGTTCAACAGTATCTCTCTTGATATTTTGCATCCTTGAAATGGTCTTTACCAACTGACCTTTACAAAATTGATATTTAAATGTTCATTAAGTCACACAATCCCATACACTACAAATGCAGGACACAAAAGTAGTGGCCCTATCTTGGTATGGGAGTGTTACCCAAAAGCAACCAGGAACCTACACTGGCTGTTGGGTGGTGATATGGTTTGAAGCTTCCCAGAAGTCCCCGTCCCCCCCCCAACCTCAGGGAGAAGAGGGAGAAAAAAAACTAAGAAAAACCCGAAACGAGAGAGAGAAACAACCAAAGTGAGATATATAAATATATTTACACTTATATACAATTAAAATATACAATTTCACAAGGGAAAGGGAAGGGGGAAGGGAAAGGGAACAAAACTAAAATAAAATATATAGATATCCCAAGACCCAATATCTAACAACTAAAAAGTTAGCAAAGAAAAAATAGCTCACTACTCCCCTGGACAACCGAGAGTCGCTCCGGAACGATCGCCGGCAACCTCTGTCTCCCAAGGTCGGCAAGGCCCAACCAGGCCTCGCTCCCCAACACGGCAGACTCAACAGCAGGGAACCTGCACCCCCAAGCCGCCGGAAGGAAAGAGAGTGAAGGCCTCTCCTCCTCTCTTCTTATAATCTGGCTTATGTAAAAATCGTAGGGAATACTGGGTAAATCTAGACCCTTCCTTGGTTACAAACCGGTCACCAAGGAAGGCCTAGCCCAAACCACCACAGGTGGCCACGGGATCAAACCGATTGGAAAAGACCTCCAAGACCACTGAGTCCAACTTTTGATTGATCACCACCATGTCAACTAGACCTGAGCACTGAGTGCCACATCCAGTCTTCCCTTAAGCACCTCCAGGGATGGGGGACCCCACCACCTCCCTGGGCAGCCCCTTCCAATGCCTGGCCAACCTCTCTGTGAAGAAATTCCTCCTAATGTCCAACCTGAAAGTGACCTGGTCACTACAGGGTTGGAGAAAAACATCAAAAACAGGTCATAGCAAGAAGTGGAAATTTTCCCTACAACAGTAATCTGCCAAATCTGGCAAGTCTCAGGCACTGAGCAAAGGACTCACACAAACGGATCCATCCGTGTGTGCCCTGGAGGTCAGAGACCAAGGGAACAGCCAAGAGAGGCTTGTGGAGACCACTATGGTTGCCACGTCCTCAACCACGTGGAGATGCAGTGAGTATAAAAAGGTCACCACCTGTGCCTACGTGGTGGATGGCACTTCTTTGCCTTCTGCCATCGTGGAAGGTCACAACAGCTGGAGTTGACTGAAGCTCAGAAAACTGCATGAGGCATTACAGGAATAAAACACAAATGGAGTACAAAAAAAAAGAGCACAAACAGAGCATCCTCACACCCACTCTTTGCTGCGTGGATCTCTTTGCTCCTCTATCCATCAAAGGCAGGGTGAGGAAATCTAGGGGAAGAAGATGCCAAGAAAAATAAGGAAGAAGGGCTGATCCCAGCATTCATAGGATCATAGAATTGTCTGGGTTGAAGAGGATCTTTGAAGCTTATATTGTCCAACTCCTCTGCCGTGGGCAGGGACACCTTCCAGCAGCCCAGGTTGCTCCAAGCCCTGTCCAACCTGGCCTTTAACACTTCCAGAGATGGGGCAGCCACAACTTCTCTGGGGAACCATCATTTTAAAAAACTTCTTCCTTAGATCCAATCTAAATCTCCCCTCTTTTACTTGAAAAACATCATCACCACTTGTCTATCACAACAGGTCCTGCTAAAAAATTTGTCCTCGTTTTTCTTCTAGATCCTTTAGGCCCTGGAAGGGGCTCTGAGCTCTCCCTGGAGCCTTCCCTTCTCCAGGTGAACCCCCTCAGCTCTCCCAGCCTGGCTCCAGAGCAGAGGGGCTCGAGCCCTCAGAGCATCTCCATGGCCTCCTCTGGACTCACTCCAGCAGCTCCACATCCTTCTGTTGCTGTTCCTCAGGGCTGGCGGCAGCTCTGCAGGGGGGTCTTGCCTGAGGGGGGAGAGGGGCAGAATCCCCCCCTTCCCTGCTGCCCACGTTGTGGGATCAGCCCAGGGCACGGGGGTTTTCTGGGCTGTAAGTTCCCATCACTGGGTCATGTCCAACCCCTCACCCACCAGCACCTGTCACCCAGTTTTACCCCGATATAACCCACTCAGGGTCCACCAAGAGCTCATTCCAGATGCCTTGTGCTGTGCCTGCCCTTGAAGCCTGACACGCTTTCCCTCCCTCCCCTGTCGCCATTCCCGCAGCTGCCCCCCGGATCATCAACATCACGGTCAGCTCCAACAGGGATCACACGTTCCAGGCCCGCTGCACCGCCGAGGGGGAGCCAGCACCTGCCCTGACCTGGACTGGTCCCCCCTACCCCAACCTCACCTCCACCACCAGCACGAGCCACCGCGTCACCAAGGAGCTGCGGTACCTGACCCACGACGGGAAATACACCTGCACTGCTGTCAACAGCCACGGCAGGGCCGAGGGGGCCGTGTACTTCTACAAATTCAAGGCGTCCGACAGCTCCTTCTTCATGATCCTGGTCCTGGTGCCGCTGGGAGTCAAGGTGCTCATTTTGCTGGCCATACTGAGCTTCACTGTGTTCTCCAGAGAAGGTCAGTGCCGTGACTTCCCTTCATCTCACTGGTACCCACTGGTGGGTGCAGCAGATAAAGGCAGGCGGGGGGGGTTGGGTTTGTTTGTTTGTTGTGGGTTTTTTTCTTTCTTTTTTTTTTTTTTATTTAAGGATTTTTAATTTTCCACCCTAGGAGAAGGACATTTCCAGTGGGAAATTTAAGTACAAGTAAGAGGGAGCTCGTGGCTGGCTGGTCTCAGCCTGCTGACAGAGGGTATCCTTTGGGAAGGGGCCTTGGAAAAGACAGAGGGAGCAGGAGTTTCTGTGCCCAAGGAGAAAGGTTAATAAACTAACAGATGGGCAATTAGTGGAGAACACACTGCCTACACAACTAGATTTGTAATTCTTTTTTTTGCCTTGGAGCAGGCTAATTACTTCCTCTTCCCCTGTAGCCCATGGCCAAGGTTTACCTTTGGTGCATCCCACACAACAGTTTAATCCCCTGGGATGGGCATCCTTATTTTACAGACCACACCTCTGCTTTCCCATCATTGGTGAAACCCCACCTCCCAGCAACTCCAAGGCCATAAGAGCAGGGAATGCCCCGCCTACAGGAGATGAGAATCATCTCACGGACTCAGGGATGAGACATCCCAGGAAGCCATTCCTGCTGTGCAGTGGCATGGGCAGGAGAGGACCAAGAGGGACACAGGACTCTGCCTCTCAGTCTGGACAAAATGAGATCACTGTGACTCGTCTGTAGGGACAGTCTGATGTCACACCCATGGAAGCCACCACTTGTCTTGAACAGCAGAAGCTGTCAGACCAACCAAAAACCTTTCCCTCCTTATATTCCAGTACCTAGTTCCCAAACCCATGAAGAGGGCCACAGGCCTGACATCAGATCTTCTCCCCAGTCACTGCAGTGTCACAACCACCCAGTGCAGCTTCCCAACAGCTCCAGGTCAGTCCTGGCTCCCCAGGTCAGTCTGACCTCATTGCTAACCCACATCATCCTTCCCACTCCACAGGTCCCTCCTCCGCTCCATCCAGCCTGGTCAGGTAAGGATGTCCTGCCTTCTACTCATGTCATCCCACAGGAGGGTGGAATTGGTTAAGGGTGAAAATGCAGCATGTCTGTGGTCTTGGTAACAATTCTCTGGCCTGAGAGCAGGTTCCTGGGACAAGGAGAGGGTTGGGCTGATGGCCAGGGGAGCTGGTGTGAGGCAACAAGGTTTGGGCACAGCTGAGGAGAGACCCCAGTGATGTGAGGACAAGGGACTGGGGCAGCAATGGCAAAGAGATGCTGCACCAGAAAACAACTGGAAATTTAGGTGTGCCATAAGCCCAGAGCACGGTTGGAAGGCTGAAGTCAGGCATGCAAATAGGCTAGGAGAGCTGGGGGGGTTCACCTGGAGAAGAGAAGGCTCTAAGGAGACCTGAGAGCCTCTTCTAGTGCCTAAATGGGCTCCAGGAGAGCTGGAGAGGGACCTGGGACAAGGGATGGAGGAACAGGACAGGGGGAATGGCTTCCCATTGCCAGAGGGCAGGGTTAGATGGGATATTGGGAAGGAATTCCTGGCTGTGAGGGTGGTGATGCCCTGGCACAGGCTGCCCAGAGAAGCTGTGGCTGCCCCATCCCTTGAAGTGTTCAAGGCCAGGCTGGACAGGGCTTGGAGCAACCTGAAAGGTGTCCCTGCCCATGGCAGGGGGTGGGATGAGATGAGCTTTAATGTCTCTTCCAACCCAAACCATTCTGTGGTTCTATGGTGCCACATTAAACAGTGGACCATCCATCCCAGGGATAGGTGAGGGGATGTCTGTACTGACACCATGGAAGAGAAACCTTCCCCTCCCTCTGGACCCCAGTTTCTCATCATCATCATCATGGCTGGGCTTCGCGAACGGAGATTTGGGAAGGGCTCTACCCACATTTGTTACAAGGACACTGGTGGCTAAAAAGGCCAATACGAGACAGGCATGTTCAATTGCAAAAGGCACAGCAGAAAGACTCCTTAGATGGTAAATTCTGCAAGGCACGATTCTTTCTGCGTTGCCTTTTCTCCTCAAGGGTGATCCTGCGTGCTTTCTCAAAAGCATCAGCAGCGTTATAGATGGTGTGTCTCCAGGTCTCCCGATTGGAGGTCAGAGTGACCAGTTATGGTGATCAATATGGCCAAGGCTGAGATGTTGTTTCAGGGAGTCCTTGTATCTTTTCTTCGGGGCTCCTCTCATGTGGCAGCCAGTGGCAAGTTCACCATAGAGCAAGATCTTAGGGAGGCGGTGGTCCTTCATCCTGGAGACGTGCCCTGCCCACCGCAGCTGTGTTCTCAGTAACATGGCCTCAATACTTGTGACAGCTGCTTGCTCTAGAACAGATGTATTGGTCACATAATCTGATCAGTGGATGTTTAGGATTTTGCAGAGACAGTGTTGATGGAAGCGTTCTAGGAGATGGAGTTGGTGAAGAAAAAGTGCCCACACCAAAACTGATGAGCTCAGCCAAGAGTGGAGGAAGGTATGGAGGTACCAAAGAGCCCACCTGAGACCCAGGTCAGGTGTGACAGGGCCTGATTCCTTGGCTGGCATCCACACTGTGCTCCCACAGATCCTTGGCATTTCCCATTACCCAGCAAAACGCTGATCTTGGACAATACTGACAGCTGGGGTGGCCAAGCTAGAAAGGGATGGAAAAAAATTAACTAAAAAAAAAAAACAAAACAGCCCTTAGTCTAACAGTAAAGAAGCTGTATCTGAGGTCAATGTAACATCTGCCTGGGGCTGCTCCCTTCCAATCTGAGTTATCTCTTTGTGATGTCTCCAGCCTGAGTTACCCCTGTGCAATATCCTGTTCCCAAGTTACTCCTACATGATGTCTCTTTCCTTCCCTCACCTTAGCCAGGAACAAGGGCCATTTCAGCAGGACATTCAAATGTAAGGACATGGCCAAAGAGACAAGAAGGAATTTAATCCTACAGTCAAATTTGTAATGACTATTTGCAAAAAGTATAGGTTTGCTGATTTATCAGGGTCTAAATGACACTGCACCATAGATATAGATATAGATACCTACACAGAGGAAAGCTTAAAAACCAACACTCCCATGAGAAGATCCTTCTCAGGAGAGATTTGCCACAACCTCCCAAGGCTCTGAGCAGCAGGACAGCAGCAGCAGTTAATGCTAAGGGTGCCGGAGATTGCTCTGGATGCTTTAAGATGTAAAACATCAGTTGCAACTCAGACCCTTAAAGACCCCCTGCTGCAGAGGGACAGTCCGAGTCGGAGCATCGCAAACACTTGCTCTAACACTCCTCAGCTGCTTGCTGGAGCCACTTAAAAAGCCCAGAGCAGCCAGGGATGTGTCCTCACCTTATTCCCTTTTCCTCCTGCCAGGCCACAGCTGCCAGACTGCACCTACGAGAACTTTGACCGCAGGCACGGAGGGAGCCAGACCCTGCCAGGAGGGAGAGCAGTGCCCAGGCGCAGCTGAGGAGATCCCATCCCCACCTGCTCCCTGCACAGGTGTCCTCTCTCCCAGGGAACACAAAACCCATGTTGGCTGATGAACAGAAGGCCAAACACCGGTGGGGATGATGGAACTGGGCGATCTTTGAGGTCCCTTCCAACCCAAGCCATTCTATATGCTATGACTCCCAGCCCTGCTGCTGCTCACAAGCGAGAGCAGCCCTTAAAGGCAAAAGAGAAGAAATAAAAAAGGGGTAGAGCTGGAAGAGCAGAGGAGGATCTGCACAGAATGTCAGTTTTAACCAATCTGTGCGTTTTTAGCCCAGATCATATTTAGCAAGCAGGTAAAAGCATAAAATTTTCTCAAATGTTTTTGCTTTGGCAGTTTTCAAATATCCTTTCACTTGTCCAACCACATGCAGCCTGCAAGTGAGCTACTGTCATGTTTCAAACACCAGCTGTGACAGAACACTACTGGAATTTCTGCTGGTGGTTTTGGGGATTTTTTTTTAGTCATTATTATTATTCATTATCTTCCAGAAGAGTTTATTTAAGAGTTTAAAGGAAACCTTAACTTTCAAGAGGAGGCCAAGAAAAAGGAAGAGGTTTTCCAAAAGCTGGTAGAGCTGAAAGCAGGACATGCACAGTCTAATTAGTCTCTAACTCTACTACTCTACCTAGTGCCCAGAGCTTTGTGATAAATACACTGTGAAAATGTTCCAATACAACAAATTGCCTTTTTGCCTTTTTTTTTTTTTTTTTTAAAGCTAAAAGACTTATTTCTAAACAGTTTCCACCTCTGTGTTACACGGAAAAGTTCTGACTTGCAAGTGGCTCTGTGCAACCATTCCAGTGCAGCAGCTCCAAAACTCTTCCCCAGGTGATCCTGCTCCTGGTAACAACCACCACTGGCTGGGATTCCAAGCTGCTACTGAATTACCATCAAGCCTGTGGTCCTGCCTGCAAGGTCAATCCCAGGCTAGGAATCATTATTTTAAAGTTCACTTCTTCATAATACCTGTGCTGGGAAAGTAAAGCACAATTTTAAATGATTTGGCCGGGATAATAAGGAAAAAAAATGCAAGGAAATATTTGAACTTGATCTTTTAAATCCCAGCTTAAAGTCCCAGTGGTGACTTGGATACTTCATGCAGTTTAGTTGGAGAATCAGTATCTGTGGCTTTTTGATTTTTTTTTTTTGAAAGCCAGGTTTAATCAAAATAAGAAGGGATGCAAAGAGGAAAAGGAAGTTACAGCAGACAGTGTAGTCAGGGACCTGTAAGCTCAGTCTCACTGGTGTCACAGAGGAAAGAGATCTCAGGGATATTAGTTGGACAAACTGAACCTAATTTCCGAGCCCTTATGATTTACAGATACAGAATAACAAAGAACTCATTCCCACTTGTGTATGGGATTCACACTTGGCTCACAGGATTTTTCTCTCAAAAACTACCTCTTTAACTCAAGTAGTTTGGGTCCAAACAGAAGCATCAGACCTTGTGCCCCAAAACCAACTCATGCCCCCTGGTCCTCATGGGAGACTCAAACCACCCACTCAAACCAATATAAACTAGAAGGTCAAAACAGAGCAGGGTACATGCCAGGAGGCTTCTAGTGTTGAACTCACTTGGCCTAAAAAGTGTGTCCCAGTTCCTCTCCTCCTCCTAAACTGCTCAGTTTATGCACATTCAGGGTTTGGGAGGATTTGGCCACTGCCCTCTATTCTCCCAGGATAAATGATGCCATCTCCCATCACCACAGCCCCTGTGGGTTGCTGAGCAGTCAGCCAGCAGAGCAAGCACTGCCTGCACATTTCAGGCACCTTGCTCCTCAGATTCTGCTTCTCCATTCCCCTGAGTGAAGTTAATGCCACATTCAGCTGTTATGCCCATTTCCCTATTTGGCCTTATTTTATTAATAAATACTTGAGCTGCAACCCACAGGCAATAACTCATCCCAATGCAACAACTGCTGTGTGAGGTAAAACATTCAAAAAGCCACAGATACTCATTCTCCAACTAAACTGCACCAAGTATCCAACAGGCACAGTTGTTACTGAGTAGCTGACATAACCATTTCATCTCTTTCCATGCAATCTACAATGTTAAAATCAACATAAAACTCAGTTTTCCTTCTGAGAGCATCCGGTGACATTTAATGATGTGAACAAGAACGTTGTAGTTTTGGGCACGAGAGACAGTGGGAGATGCTGGGAATGCCAGAGCCTTTCCAGTAAAACTAGAAGAAATAAGAAGTCACTCTGTTGGGCACAATTTGGAAAATAAGGTCCCAAGCTCTGGAGTTCACATTTGCACAGAGAACTGCCAGTGGATCTGTTAGTTCACAAAACTGCCCCCCTGTGTTTGAGGAAAGCACAGGTTCAGACTTCTGCCATTACCACACTGACCATGAAGCCAGAAGACTGGTCTGTGGGTGACACATACAGCAATTATGTGTTACCTGAAGTGTATTCTTCCAGCAACTTGAAAACATCACAGTGTCTGTCACAAATTGCTTGATTTTTTGTTTTTATTTTTGCATGGTCTTTGCAGACGTAGCATGTTATAAATACAACATTTGTAAAAACTCAACAGCTGAAACAATTCCTCATTTTGAAAGTGCATCTCAAACATGTATTTCTGACTTTTTCACATTTATATGCAACTGATCAATAACACTGAATCTAATAAAACCAGTGCTTTTTAAGTCTTTGAGGGGGGGAAAGCAGCCGAATGTATTCCTCCAGACACGAATTTTCCAAAAGAGTCTTAAAAAACATGCTGCATTTGGTATCTGGTTAATATACAGAGGGATGTACATATGTATATCTATTTATAGGCTCGCAGATAGAGCAAAGAACTCTAAGACCACATTAATATGACGGTGATCTAATGACCCAGCTGGCATAATTAGCAGAATCTGGCAAGAAGAAAAAGCTGATCTGCTCTGCAGCACCAGAACCACCGTTGGGAGGAACAGATCAAAGCATCATTGACCAGACAGTAGGCAGCACATTTCTATCCCCTAGTGATCAGAACTCATGTTTTAACGTGCAACCATGTCATAAACACAAAGGCACAATTAATGGAGGGAGAGAAAAAGCGATCAGTTCCTTCACACAGGTGTAGGGATTGGGACTGTAGGACCTTGGGCCACCTCAAACACATCAGTGATGAAGGGGACGTCAAACAAGCAATGGGAAAAATTCATCTTCTGCTTTCCCTAAACAAAAGTGCATCTTATGATCAGACAAGGCAACAAAAACAGTGATCATTCAGCTGAAACTACAGATTTACAGGCTCGTGGTTCATGCTTTGGCAACAGAATTTTAACAAGTGATCACCAAATTTAATACAACAGAAACACCTCTTCATAGCGTCCTCTAAAATCTCATGGTGTCATACCCAGCCAGGCAGAAGAAAATAAACTTAAGTGGTGGGTGGACACTTGTTAAATCAGTATTTCCTAAACAACCAGACTTTAAGAATTAAGGAATCCTACCTAACATGATCATAACTGACTGTTCCCCTCCCAGACACTAGAGATCCAGAAAATCTGTTTCTGGATTTAAATCCCCTTGAACTTGGCTAAAAGTTACTTGCATTTAATGAAGCAATATAGATGCAGACACACTAATATTTAGAAAACAGGAAAAAACCAAAGTTCTTCAGTTACAATTTTTGTTAATATTTACACAAGTGGGTGAAGATTGTAGGCATGCCTCTCAACTACAGATTTCTGTGGAATACCAAAAAGAAATCAAAACTTGAAGTACCATCTTTTCAAATACAGGGATTTCACAAAAATCACCAGACACACACTCAGGTAAGACTCAGAGGTATCCTTGGTTAAGAAAGTCAAACCTCTTTTACACACAATCCCCCAGTAAATTTGAACTGGCCTGAGTGATGACACATTGGAAAATAAAAAAGGCACCAAGCAAAAACTCCAGACGCTCCAGGATGAGCTTTGCTGACTAATGACTTGTACACCTATCCCCAAGTACCCTCCTCTCAGAAGTGCACCACACACAGGAGGATATTCAAGTGCTTTCAGTCAAAAAAAAAAAAAAATGGCAATTCCACAGGCCTAAAAAGGGAAGCAAGAAAACCTTAAAAGGGGAGAAAAGCTTGACAGCATGCCGCTCCCATTCACAATTCTGACTTAGTTACTAAGTGGAACTCTGAAGGTGAAAGTTATTTGTGCAGCAGGGACACTGTTTGTAAACCAGGGTGATGGGCACTGAGTGATGGCCCTGCGAGCCCAGCGCCGCTACCGGATGGTGTCCAAATAATGCACTTCTGGGTACAGGGTGTTGACAAGGAGAGCCAGCAGGTTGTTGCCATCCCGAAGACAATGCTCTGGATGCCTGATGAACACAGAAGCCTGGGAGAGCTGCTCTTGGTACTCCATATATTGCTTGTTTGACGCCATGGATTCAAGAGCGCTCAGTGCCTGTGGGTACAAGGGAGAACTCTGTTAGATGAACTCTGGTCCATAACAAGTCAGTTCATGAGCCACAATATGCACAGTTCCCCCAGAAGATCCCTACCTACTACAGAACCCAGAGTTTTCTGAACAAAACAGTTATAAACCACACTCACATAACAGTGTTTCGAGTCACCTGCATTTTTGAGTGATATATTGTATATTCGAGTCACTCCCCAAGATCAGGACAAAAACTGTCCTATCAAGGCTTGCTAGGATTCTGCAACCCAAATATTTTCAAATATTTACTTTGTGAACTCAAGAAACGGTTTCACAGAAATTATGTTGAACTACAAACTGCAACACACTTGATATTTGCTGCATGCTGTTCTTATGAACATCTTGACTTTCATAACAGTATTATTCTACTCCTATTAATAACATTAAATTTAGGTATTGACTGTCAAGTTAAAAATTATACATAGAAAAGTCTATGTTGGAAGTAATAGGCAGAGCAAATGCTGGACATATTTCTGAACAAGTTTCATTCTTTTCTTAAGAGAAACAAATTGTACCAAGCTACTTTGCTCTGATTTCTAATGAACTCCTTCCTCTTCTCAGATGCTTACTGAAAGACCATCATGGTCAGTGCACATGTTAAAGCAGGAATGTTTATTTGTCACAGGACTTTTAAGCCCTGACCTCACCTAAACAAATGTCAGTATGAATGCAGCCCTGCTTTATCACTTAAAAGCAGGGCAATCACCAGCAGCACTATTTTTTCCTGTTTGTTTTCAATTCCTTCCACCTGCAATGCTCCAAACTCTCAGAAGTCAAGGTTTACAGACATAAGTTCATCTGCTCCTTTTTCAGTGTATAAGATTAGAAACTGATGCCTTTATATTAACACAGAATATTGTACAAGCAGTTTTACCTAGGATCACCTTAGGACAGAGCTCAAACACACAGTCCTGCTGCCAAAGTTCACAGCAACAAGGTGAGGGCAGGATTTAGCTCGAAGAAATGCTTGTAGTGATTCTTATTACTTCACCCCAAAAGCTAAAGAAGCACGCACAGAGGGCACGTCAAGCAGCCAGAGATGGGCAGAGCTCACCTGCTGAGCCTTCTGAGACAGCTTGGGCTCCGAGCCGGCTTTCAGGCGCACTTGACTCTCTGCAGGAATCTGCACCAAGAGGAAAGCAGACAGACTGCGGGCAACCACCCGAAACCTGCGTGGGGGAAGCACAGAGAGAGAAGGGGGCGTCAGATTTGCAGGTCTCAACAGCAGGTACACTGGGAGTTCTACGCCATGAGGTATCTCTTGCATGAGGAACAAAGTAGAGGCTTTAGACGACCATCTCCAATGCATTAGAAAAAAAGAAGTCACTTGAATATCATGGGTTCATATCATGATGAATATCATATCAGACAGAATGGTTTGGGTTGGAGGGGACATCAAAGCTCATCCAATTCCACCCCCTGCCCTGGGCAGGGACACCTTCCACTAGACCAGGTTGCTCCAAGCCCCGTCCAACCTGGCCTTAAACACTTCCAGGCATGGGGCATCCAGCTTCTCTGTATACACATACAACAGGATATCATACATACTAGAGGATGATATAATATGATACATATGAAATGTTACATCTGCTTCAAGCTTAGCTGAAGCCTTGAGGCCACATCTGAAACACTCCTCACTTCACAGACTGTGAAACATCCTCACCATCCAAATCGAGGGACCAGTTGAATGAGACCAAGAATTCAGAGCAATTTCAACAGGACTGCATCCTTATAAACATAAACTTATGTTTAGGTATTCGTGTTCCACAAGCATTTATGGTTTTTTCCTTGGCATTCTCTCCACAGTGAACTTGTTTTTAACAGCTAGCCATCAAACTTGGTGTCTCTCTTGGGAAGGTAAAGTGAACAACAAGCAAGCACATGCTTCCTTGAGCTTCTCTTAACATTTCCAATATCTCAAGGTTAAAACAGAAAGGGTAAAGTGTATGTTATTATACAAAACCTTGTCAGGTCAACTGAAAGTCTTCTACATACCAAATGCAAGTATCTTCCTCTAACAGTCTGCCTACAAACTTTGCTGGGCACTAAGTCAGAATCACAACTGCATTTTCTTTCCTTCTCCACCACAGACTTTACAGAAGTTCACACTCGCTTCTTAACCAGATTATCACACTCCCTGTGTTTTTTCTGTGACTGGCCCAAACAACTTTATAGATCTGGGGACAGCTTGGATTCAGAACATCTTCTGACACTGCACTGGGCAGTCTGGACCCAGGCTGCTTCTTTAATACGATGACTCAAAGCAATTAATTTATCACACTCCATCCTTTACCTGGGTGACAAAGGAGACCTCCTGCCCAGTCCAATAGCACCAAGTATTCCAGAAGTCAGTCTCTCTTCAGCCAGCTGGCTCTGCCTGCCCTGGATGGACAGCAGTGTCCGGATGACGGATTCGATCAGAACAGCATCATCCTGCTCCATCTGAATCAGGGATAACTGCATGGCCTTATGCCACCAAAGAAACAGCTTGGCCTCTTCCTTTGCTGAGCTTTAGGTGAGATTTAAAGAATAAAATAAAACAAAATATAAATTAAAGAGTCAGTTGCATAGATTAAGAAGCCTGTTTCTCTCCCCGCCAGGCCCACGAAGAATTCAGATGGTTAATTAGTGACAGTAATCTCCTACTGTATGAGTATAAAATGGCAGTACACCCCACCAATTATTACACTGCTGTAACTGCTACTGTTGTGGATTTGAGCCATCAGCTAGCAGGTTTTAAGAGCCTGTAAGAGGACAAAGAACAGCGCTTCCTTTTAAGCTTTACAACTGGAAATAAATGATAACTGCAGTCCTAAGTGGATTTAAACTTGACTAAGACTTGGTATAAAAGGAAAGAAGCTGTATCTCTACTCTTTTGTTCTTTTCTTTACTTACCAATAAAACACTTTAGGAAGCACTAGCTGTTGTTTCCGCAACAATTTAGACTTTTAATATGATCTTTGAAAAAAAGGAAACATTTAATGTTTTTGTTGAGTAAAGCACAAAGTGAAGTTCCCCCTATGATATTTTTAATCTTTCCCAAAACAGTTTTCAGCTTAAGTTAACAGCCTCAGACTTTCCACATAAAGCATCAGCACGAGTTTCCTGCATCAGACTATCCTCATATCACCCCACCCAGTCATTTCCCATCCCAGGCAATCTCAGCTCTGATGTTCAGAGCAAGGTTTTATCTGCTCTGTGTGGTGGCTTTGCTGCCTCTTTCACACTCTGGCAATCAAATTACTACAGCACCTACCACAGTGAGAGAATGCTTTTTGAATTTCAAGAAACAGTGAGAACACAAATTTTTACAAATCATTCTTTCACAGAAAATATGAACATAATCAACATTAATATGGAAAGATATTCATCGTGTTTGCTAAATCCTGGCAATTTCAGTAGCAACTCTAAATACAGCTGTTACATACTTTTGAGGATTTTTATTTTGACCCCAGGGCTATGCCTCCTTTCCCCCCAGAACCCAGTCATCTTGGAAGTTGTTTTACAGCATTCAGGTCCCTGACTCTGGGCACTTCACCAGACCCATTGGCTCCAGATTTGGTTGAGAGCTGTTGATCAGGCCCCATGGAGCAGCTTGGAACACCAGGTCTCCCAGAGTGCCAGACTGAATATTTAGCACGTAACTCATCCCACCTAGTGGACATGCTGGAAAGTGGAACCCTGAGTGATTCAGGGTTTGCTTCGAGTCATTTTAACTGAGCACAAATCCTGTCACTGAAATCGAGCTTCTCTGATTGAAAAATGACTGAAACTCACTAGTGTTCTAACAAATTAAATTCTTTCTTCTGCTTAACCATCACAACTATTAGTGTTGGTACTGCAGAAGGACAAACTCTTAATTACTGGATAAAAAAGGACATGCCATTTCATCCAGCAGCCTGTTGAAATTAACCTAATTAACTGAGACACCTGATTATCTCAGCTATACAAGTACAAATAAACTTGATCTAAAAGTCAAGGCACGTTCAGAAGCTCCAAGCTTCATACCTGGGGTACACCTGCTCCAGCCATTTGCTGATGGTCAGCAGGATCTTCATTTCATTGGTAAGAGTTTGGTCAGTGTTCAGGCATTGCAGCAGGTAGACATACAGGGTCAAGTAGCTTCCTAAAGACAGACACTCCTGCAGGAATTCTTCCATGGTTAGCTCAGGGACTTGGAGGGAGGCAAGTATAGGGCCCCAGCCTAAATCCTGGTGGTGAGGAGAATCTATGAAGAAAACAGAAGGAAAGAACAAAAAGAGTGTGAAAAAGCAGCACGTAGTAACACCTAAGAACTAGGGCTACTGTTCACAGAATCTGGGCTGGTTTAGCTGTTTTCCAGGTAATCAGCATGTCATGAAACTCTGGTGGAGAGAAAAGAAAAACTCCACTATCAAAGGGCATCTCCTTGAGGTTAAGGTGAGATATTTTCCCAGCATTCAGACAGGACTAGAATTTGAACATTTTAGCAAGGAATTAAAAGTATTTCCTTCAGGTACACTAATATCTTCCACACAGAAAGCGGAAGAAATAAAAATGTGGTTCCACAAGGTTTATGTAAACTGAAGGGGAAAAAAAAAAAACAAAACCGAAAAAGAAAACCACCCCCACCACAGAATTTCAGATTTTTACCAAACAGGATTTTTTTTTTCTTAAATTAGCCTACAGAACACTACAGGAGGGAACAAATGTCTTCTGTTCTCTTGGAATGATTCCTTTTTTAAGAAGTCCTCCCCTTTAGCTGTAAAAATGGCAACACCACAAAAAGCAAATCAGTTTTCAGACAGACAGGTATAATTCTTAAGAAAACACACAGAGCAGTTGTAAACCCCAAATCTCAATCACAGAATCCCAGAATGGTTTGGGATTGGAAAGGACCTTAAAGACTATCTTGTTCCACTGCCCTGCCATGGGCAGGGACACCTTCCACTATCCCAAGTTGCTCCAAGCTCCGTCCAACCTGGCCGTGGACATTCCCAGGGATGGGGCAGCCACAACTTCTCTAGGCAACCAGTGTCAGGGCCTCTCCACCCTCACAGGGGAGAATTCCTTCACAATAACCCTCTAACCCTCCCCTGTGTCAGTGTGAAGTGTGTCATTCCCCCCTCATCCCTACCCACAGCAGAGGGGTTGGAACAAGACGATCTTTAAGGTCCCTTCCAACCCAAACCATCCCATGATTCCAGACAATGTGTGTTCAGTGGTATACAAGGGTGGCCCAAGCTCCTGAGACAAGCAGAGAAGGCCCCTACCCTCACTGAAGTAAGCAGTGATACAGGCCTCTGTGGTCTCGGCCATGTGCCGCACCGAGGCCAGGCTCTGGCAGGCCGCTGTGAGCAGAGGCATGGCCAGCAGTCCGTGCACTTTGCCTTCTATCCACCTCCGCAGGGTCCCCCGGAGAGACTCGGCCGTGGTGATGCTGGAATTGTTCAGCATCATCAGCGTTTCCGTGAAGAGACTGCTGAGGGCCAGGTGGCGCGTCTGCAGGTCCATGTCTGGAGGTCAGAGAGCAGAGAACCACATCAGTAAATCGACACTGGAACCCAAATTCAGCTTCACCACTGGACACTTTCTGTAGACACTGGGAAAACCCTGTGGCTCGTTCCTGCTTGCCAGCACACTTGTGTCTCTTCCTGCCCGTGACCCACACAACCGCTGACAAGCATTTCTGTGGATTACAGTGAGACAACTGATTCCACCTCAAGTTACAGCTTCATAGAGGAACCTCGGGATGGGACTAGTGCTAGCAATCAGATCGATATAAATCCTCTGTGTGTGGGTACATCATACCACTAGTGCACATCAGTGTAACTCTCATACTTCAGTACTCTCAGGTTTTCCCAATTCTACAATTTAGAACCATTTCTGAGAGCCCAATCATAGAATGATGGAATGTTAAGGGTTGGAAGGGAACTTAAACTTCATCTAGTCCTAACCCCCCTATCATAGGCAGAGACAGCATCCACTAGACCAGGTTGCTCAAAGCCTTATCTAACATGGCCTTGAACACTGACAGGGCTGGAGCATCCAAAACCTCCCTGGGCAACCTGTTCCAGTAGCTCACCACTCTAAAAGTAAGAATTGCTTCCCAATAACTGGCCTAAATTTCCTCTCTTTCAGTTTGTACCCATTACTCCTAATCCCTCAGGACCAAGAGAATATATTTTTGCCATTCTTCCTTTTAAAATAGATGTAAATGAACAAGTAAAATAAAAATTAAAAAATAAATAAATTTAAATTAAGTTAAATTAAAAAAAAAAGACAACAAAGAAAATCCCTCAAGCTCCTGGATAACAGCCTGTTTCACTCACAACATAAGCCCTGTTTTAACTGTTGGTTGTGTCACTCCTGATAGGTCTATGGGGTAATTCATATTTTTGCTGTGTGCTAATATACCACTTATATATACACATCAACAAAGCAACATATTTGCTTTGGTGACATGTATATATAGGTGGTATATTAGGAGACATTATAGTAATGCAAGTAATTACACAGTCACAGACGTTCGTCAATCCATGCAGCAGAGTACAGGATCTTGGCAGCCTTGAAGCAATTGGCTGTTTCTACAACACAAACCTGGGGGATTAAAGATGACTACATCATCCAGCAGCTTGGCCATTTCCTGCTCCAAAACTGCAAGGGTGATCTTTCCACTTTGCTCCAGGGTGCTGAGGAACTGAACCACCTGGCAAATGTACGCTCGGCACTTCAGTGTTGCGTCCTGTTCAACAGAATTGAGGTCGATTAGAAAAAACAAAAAAAACATCGTGCCTAGAACACTTTCCATAATACACACAACCAGAACATTGCAAAGAACAGCCACGAACAGCTCAGAGACACTGCAAGACCAGTCCAACTCACGAGGTGGATGTGACTATCCGAAGATGCCCCAAAGCCTGCCGAGATCTTCAGGAGCTTCACAATCAGTTCAGCTGCAGCATCCTTAGCAAGGATAACAGAGGGAGGGTAGTGACTATTGCAGTAGCTGATGATGCTTTGATAAGATGAAATGCCCACAAGCTGCCAAGGAAGGGAGCTGGTCTGTCCAAGAAGATTTATGAGTGGTGATTCCTGAAGATTTAAAGACATCAGTCTAAGCTACACCTTCTTTGCAGTTTTAAATTAATATTCACAATACTCAACACTGGAAGGAAGCCCCTGCTCCAGAATTTGAAAGCGATGGAGCAGAACCCCCATGGAGATAGAGGACCAGTGGGAGTCTGACTGAAAAGCAAGTCCTTATTCAAGCAGTAAAGCTAACACACGTATGTCATCTCTAGCATTCAGGCTGCTGCAGCACAGAAGTCAGGGAGAAACACTAAAATTTAACATGTAAACATGTAAAGACAGCAAGAAAGAATGGAGATCCTCCGAGTTAAATGCACTTCTGAACAGATTTAAAAGAGACATTAAAATATTATATAAAAAAACAGGTTGGTCTAAGTTCGCAGTAGAAACGGAGTCCCTTAATGTTCCATTCAGTGAGTCATCTACCAACCTGAGGGACTCTCCAAGTGCATATTCTCAGAAATAGCACCCTGAACAGCACAGCAGCCTTCAGTACCCCCAGCTCACACAGGCAGTGAAAGTCTGCAGATGGAAACATCTCTCTGTCCACAAGCAGCTATCACCTGTTCTTAAACACCTGCAGTAAAAAACAGTCCCCGTGGACACTGAGAAACACTGAGTGGCTGGAGCTGTGTCAAGGATGGTTTAGGTTGGATATCAGGAAAAGGTTCTTCCCCCAGAGAGTGGTGGGGCACTGAACAGGCTCCCCAGGGCAATGGTCACGGCCCCAAGGCTGCCAGAGCTCAAGCAGTGTTTGGATGACACTCTCAGGGACGGGGGGATTGCTGGGGTATCCTGGGCAGGGCCAGGGGTTGGACTCAATGATCCATGTGGGTCCCTTCCAACTCAGGACATTCTACACTCTATCCTATGATTCTATGATTCTACATGTTTTAGAATGAACAAATACTGGAGCTGTGCTGACAACCCAGAACTAACCCAAATTAGACTGCTTCAACAAGGACATGACACTGGTACAACACGTACTTAAGTTGCTCGTGCCCGGGAACACAGGGCTGAGAAAGTCTGAGATTTAGGTCAAGGTGTCACAGGAGCTTTCTGGGAGGCAAAAACTTCCTGACAGCGTGTCAGTTTAACACACTGCTGGAGGGTAGGAGAGAATTCCTGAGGCTGACTCACACCATGTGCAAACAGGTATCTTCTGAAGCTTGAGAAGCTTCTGATAAGCAAATACATTCAGGTCAAAGCACATGAACTCTGGTAACTTTCCTAAACTGAAATACAATGATGGTCAAAGGCTGCTGGTGACATCTTGATGCAGCAACTCTCAGTGCCTCAGAGGAAAACAGAAGATGTTGGAAGTGGAAGCAAGCTGACAGACGTGAAATGGGACTTCCTGCAGACAATCCAGTCCCTCTGGAAGAGCCCTCCAGAAGCAATGGACTGGATGAGACTGAGCTAGATTTACCCACAAAGAGCTCTTAGCAAGGGTAGGATTTGGAAAGTACCACCTAATGCCCACTGATTCTCTATCCTATTACAATTCAGAAACATTGGAATGCAACCGTAAATGGGAAAGGCACTGAGGAATCAGAGATGATCCAATCCCCCTGCGGAGCAAAGGAATCAGAAAACTCATCCTCAGATTCAACAGATGAAGTACTCTATCCCCCAGTAACTCATCAGATGCAGACAGTGCCAAGCTTCTTAAAGACATACCTGGTCTTCAAGATGCTATTACATCATTGTGATTTGTCATCACATCACATGGAGCATTTTATGGTAAGAAACAAACATTTGCAAGAGCAGTTCTGAGTAAGGGCTGAACAGCTCTCACCCTTGAGAAAACATGTTTCAGCAGACACGTATTTTCCTTTTAGAAAGCTACAAAAAGAACTACACTGGGATCAAGAGCTGCTCCAAACCTCACAGGGACTAATCGCACTGCTGAGCTGTGCTCAACCCACCTCAAGTGTCACCAGTACTGTTGATCAGGTTGGAAAACATCCGGAACACGCATAGCAAGACTCAGATCCAGCCCTAAACTTTCCACAGATGGATGACTCCTTACCATCCCTCCACACAGTCATGTTTGCCACTCAGAAAAAGAAGCAAGGCACGCATGAGGTTTACATGACTGGCCTTGTGACAGAATAAATGTGACTCAGTGAGCCCCCCCAAAAGGTGATCCAGGCACAGTGAGAGCTGCTCCTACACTCTTTTCATTCAGGCTGTCAGAAGAAGCTTCCCCTTAAGGTATATATAATATTGCCCTAATGAAATTAACGTATTTGTTCCTTCCAAAAGCCAGACTGCCATTTTATAACTCCAGGGAAACTGCCTGTATTAATTTGCTTACTCCTTCCAATGCTATTGGATTACAGAACCTAAGAAGTTTCTTAAAATGGACACCAGCTCTTCTTTTTTTTCACACAAGTTATACAAAATGCCTCAGCTATGGAATTACTCTTGGCCACCTCTGGAATACTATATTGGGTATTTTACATATGCAAAACCCACTTCAGTTAATCATTTTGCAAGTGAGAAAGGAGTCCCATCCTATGTCCTTCTTAATGAAGGATTATTTTTCTTTTAAGACTGATGGGTATGAACATTTCTAAAAATTACCTCTTCACCAATAAGTTGTTCCTCCTTTGCCAACAGGACCATCATATACAGCAAACAGACAATCATGTTGTGAGTCTGAGGCTGAGGGTTGGGATTCCAGGCATCAGAGAGGACACTGACCCAGTTTATTTCACATAAAACATAACCCAAGAATAAGAAACAACTCTTGGGACTGCCCCTTTCAATCTAAGAAGGAGAAAGGAAAAAAGATAGATGCATAAAATGATGTAAGTTATTAATACTTTCACATTTTTCAGTTCCTCAGTCAACTATAAATCCCCAGCAGCATTTTAGGTCAGCTTTATGTTGTCTCAGACAACTTGGAAGTGAAAAAACCATGGCATTAGTAAAATATATTAAATCTGACTAAATCCATATTAAATATATGTGTAATAAATGAGACATTCAGATAGAGCAACAGCAGATTACAAACACTGGCAGCTTTACAGCTTCCCACAATTTTGTCTAAGACTCAAATATACCTCTTCACAAAAATCCACCACAAAGCAAGCAGCTGTGATTGCTACAAACTTTAAAAGCCTACTTGCTAAAAGAACTGTCTCCAGCTCTCCAGTTATTTTCAAGGGTAACACTGACTATGAACTTAATTCAACAGATGCCAGGTACTCACTTTGAAGAACTCTTCCATCAGCATCTGGTCTGGATGCATTTCCTTCCATGGAAGCCTTCTGAACTCAGTGTGGAAGGCATAGAGAATAAACTCTGGCATTTTGGGGGCTGTGCAACACTCACAGTAATGCATGAGATGTAACCAGAGAGCCCCATGATGGTTTGGCAACAGCTTTTCTAGAACCAAAGAAAATATCTGAATTAACAACAGAAAAAAAATTCAGGGACAGTTGGATTTCAAAAGAAAGTCTAATTTTGGAGATTAAAAAACTTGTAAGTTACACTAAACTGCAGTTATCCAAAAAAAAGAAGTCATATTAAACTTTTAGATTTTTTTCTCAAAATCAACAAGTGGGGAGGCTTATGATTGCATGCCCTGACCTGCCCTTTTGAACAGCTGGTGCACAATAAATTGAAGTTATAAAACACTCCTGCAATCTGGAACTGAACTGCTTTAATGTTGGGCCATTTTGCTTTTTTTTAAAGAATATCTTATGCATCTCGAATTTTCTAAAAACACAATTGTCTAGTAAAAATAAATAATTAAAAATAACACGTAAGTTTGAATCTAGTTCATCCCTAAAAGTTGTTAAGTGGTATTGTGAAATTAATTTTTCCTATGTCTAAGTACCCAATAGGAACAACAAGCAATGCTAAATAGGGGCTCAAAATGATCAATCCTGGAGATTAAACTACTCCCCAAACTAGCTATTGAAGAACATGTATTGGTCATGGTGACATACTACTGCATATGTTGTTTGGGAACAACACACAGACCTGGAAAGAATTCATGCACTTCTCATGACAGGTCACTCCGTCTGGCTTTCCTTTACATTAAATTTGTTATCTGACCAACATGCATCTATCCATCACATTATCTACCCTTGCCAAGATAAAAAAAGGTGCCTCTTAAGGATGAAACAAGTAAGGGCTCCTGATATGACTGCAGTGGTCATCTTGAGTAAAATCCCCTCCCGTCCTACATCTCAATCAAAAACCTTTTTTTTACTCTGGTAAAACAGAAGGTGCCGCTTCACTAAAACAGCTTTTCACCCACCTTTAAAGCTCTCGTGCAAAAGCTTGATGCAATTTGTAAACAAAGAGACCACAGTGGAGGCTACAGGGGTGTCACTCTCCAGCCAGGGGTAGCAGGGCTGGTTACTGAAAAGAAGCACAAGGGCAGCAACACAAATTTCAGTCCCCTGACCATAAACACTTCAGCAATTTAAATATTCTAAAGCACAGAAAGTCAGTACAGCACGAGTATCGGCAGTTTTCTCAAACTCAATTCTTCAGGACCGAATTCCTCTTCCTTAGAAGAGATGCATATTCAATAACCCAGTGAAGAGTCACAATAACACTGAGTAAACAGAAATAACTTGATGTTTCAAAATAGAATTTAAAACCAAAAGACTGGAATTTCTCAATGACATCACATGCCATCTGCAGTCAACCTTCTAATATAAGTGCTGAAGGTGCACTCACAAATCAAAAAAAGGTTTTAGTTTTGAAAGAAAGCAAAATTTAAACATATAACAGTACAAATAATTGTTCATGTGAAGACAGAGGTACACAAGGCAGCAGATCATCATAGGACTGATTTAGCCTGAAGTTTCTTGACATGCCACTGACATTTGGGGCTGTATTTGGCTTTCTTTTGTGATATTATGGAAGAAAAGCAATCCAAAATTCAAGTTCCAGTGTTTTCAGAACAGAATGCAATACTTACTTGGTCATCATCAAGCTCTGGTCTTACTATGATTACAAGATATTTCTTGTATTAATAATTACTAAGATAATTATTCAATCCAAACCTTGGAAAATCTGATGTAAGTCATGAATTAGTTCCATAATTATTAAGGATATGAGACAAGTAAGAGCTATTTAAATGGAAGGTCATAAGACAGTCATGAATGATTAAAAACCACGTAATAATGAAAGCCATTCTTACAGGGCTAAAGTCCTTACTTTAGACAAAAACTCATTTAATTTCAAAGTGCAATATATACCTTGCATCTTCCTTATCCAAGACCAGTATCCATGGCTTAAAGAGTCCAGCAATGATTGAATACAAAGACTGCAGGGCTAGAAGGAAACAAAACAAAAGCTGCTTTTTTTCTTCAAATCAACAGCAGTGGATATATTACACTTTTCCAAATTTGCATACGATGTCCTTTGCTTATTCTAACATTCATAGAATGACAGAATAATTAGGGTTGGAAAAGACCTCCAAGATCATTGAGTCCAACCATCCAATCAGCTCGTTTGGTGAAATAAAACTTTAAAACACAATATGCTTACTAGTAACTCTGTTTAACAACATGGTTGTTTTAACAACAATCATAAGCATTTTGCATTTTTTAGATGTTCTATTAGTATCACTTTAATAACACATCAGAGAATGTGAAGGTAAGGGTGACTCACACTTTAAACCTAATGTGTTTAGGTGATTTTTCTCCAAATCAAAATCACACCAAATTCAGTAGTGTCTCCTTCCCAAACCTCTGCTCAGTGCAAAAGACTGTATTTTTCTTGAAGAAAGTAAAATCTCTTCATAAAATAATTTTAAAGCAAGCTCAAATTAAAAAAAGCTTTCTTTAAAATTTTAAAGCATAAAGTCCAAACGGCCGGGGAGTATCATCAAAATTTCCCATCTGTATTTTAATGTTCTCATCACTCCACAATGCAAAATAAGAAGATCTTACTGTATATTTAAATTGCCTTTAACAGAGGAAATTGGAAAAACTGAGTGTCTGTTCTTAAGTAATTTGCTTTTAAGACACGTTACCTGCTAGAATTGTGCTGCTGCCCACAGGTTCTTGGGATAAATTATCAACTTCACTGTCAATAAGTCGTTTAACAAGATACTCCAGGAACACATTCACTTCAGCCACATAAGGACTCCACTTTGAAAACAGGCCAAAAGTCCTGAAGTCCACTGAAGCCAGTCGGAGTTTGCAGAAGGATGTGGAAAGCCATTCTATTGTCTCTCTAACCTGTTAAAAGGCAGGAAACTATTAATCAGCTACAGAAAGGCTGCACAGCAGTGTTATTTGTCACTGGAGGGCATCTGTTTCAGCTGAAGAACATAATAAACCAACCACCCACCTGTTCTGTGGAGAGCAGAGTTTTTCCAGCATCCCTCAATGCAGGAGTTTCAGTAGAATCACTCTTCCTGAAGCTTCCCTGCTCAGCCACTGGTGAATCACACCCCAAAGCTTGAAGTGATGCCTTCCAACAGTCAGGGCTTAGAAGCTGCTCTGATGAGCCTTAAGGAGAAAGACAAGGGAATGCATTTGTGAAAACCAGAAAGATAGTGGTCCCTTTCTCCAAAAGAGTCAAAAAAAGGTTGAAATTATAGCTCCCTACTACCAAAAAAAAATTAAATTAGGTAAGGCATGAATTTGAAAATCCCAAGTTTAAGGGTGAGAGATGTCTCTAATTTGCAAACACAATTAATTTAACAGTTCTTTTTGGCATCTACATGCTCTCTTCCTAGAGAGTTTCCCAGGCACTTCATACATCTCTTGCTACAAACACTCATTAAGAGACAGCTGCTGCCTCAGCACATGTGGTTTGACAAAAGGAAGTACTTGTGTTCTCATTGGAGAGGCACCTCAGATTACGGATGGCATCTAATGTCAACCAGGACATTTCCAGCAGATTTCAGTATTAGTTCCATGTCTCCATAATTCCAGTTCTCAGTTTGACACTGAAGGGTGTTCAAGAACAAGGATTCTACACAGACTTTATCATAATTAATAGGTGCTTCCGTTAACAGAAGACTCACCTCCATCCTTCTCCTGTTATATGGGGTTAAAATCTGTTGTCACTGCTGCATGTGCTTTGACCTGCAGAGGGGTGTTTCTTTCTAGTAGAGCTACAATACCTCTAATAAAATCACACCACACAGCATGCACACAGAAATACATATAGAAAATTTAAAAAGTTTAAATCATTCAGTATTTGTTGCTACTTAACTCTACTGCATGCAGTTCATATTTTAAACCAGAAGGGTTCTGCACAAAGGGCTTAGTGTGCATCAACTCAGGTACTCACTTTGCACGAACAGCCTTAGGAAATCACTGTAGTGGTCAGGGAACTGATACTGGAGAAGGTTAGTCCAATGCTTGCAGAAGATATTAAATGGCATCAAAATGTCTTCTTCAGGTTCTAGGCCACATGCATTGAGAGCCAAGTGAATAGACTCCAGAAGCTTGGTACGCTCAGCAAGAGGTGGCTTAGCCAGGCTTAACCACTGCACGAGGTCAAACTAGAGCAGAGGACAGGAAGCATTTGTAAGCAGAAGCTTTAACAGCCTCAACACCTTCAGGAGAAGGGAGAAATTATTGGGGAAAAATCCCTAAGTTTTTATATATTTAAGAAAAACCTAATGAATTTTCACCTCATTATCCCTAACTCCAAACCAAGGCAACGCTCTTTAAAGGTTATGATTCAGCGTATTGCAGAAGTCCCTGGCTTTATGAAACAGCCCTTGGTGGGGGTGCTCAGATTCATAAAGATGCGTCCCAATTTCCACACTTCAGTACCACTGTCAATCATAAGCATTACACTGGACTGATCTCCACAGTCCATAAATTTTCAGGTGGAGGTGAAAAGCTTTCGTAGCCTATTCACCATCTGTCCAGACTCTCGCGAGCAGGGACACAACACTGATCACTCCTTGCTACAGATATCCCAAAACAGGCTGCCTGCTGCTCCCAGCTGCCGAGCCCTGTCTCTATGTAACTGATGAGGAGAGAATCAGATTGGTACCAAAGCCCAAGCGTAACACTAATTTCCCCACTGACCATGGAGGCAGGCAGTATCACACAGCCCTGAAACGAGAGACGTGCACGTCACTTGCCCTGACCTAACTCTGTATGTTTTAAGACAGGTAGGAAGGACATGGGTGCCAAACAGAGGTGGAAAACTCAGACACTGTCCCAAATTTTGTTTTGTTTTGATTGTTAAGATACCTGGGATTCACTGGCTATCTGGATGAATGTCTCTGCAGAGATATCAGGCAGAAGAAGCCATGGAGAGCCTGCTTTAATTTCAAGAGTGAGCCTTGAGAAGCACATACTGATACTATCTGTGCTAGAAAAGGATATTTAAGCCACTTGCTTTTGACTCCAGCCCCTCTTGAACTCAAGTGCAACACATACCATTCAGGATGGGCAATTCAGCTCAACAGAACCTGTCAATGCTATTTTAAATTACCAGATTTTGCACCTCTTTGTTCCTTAGCCCAAAAACAAGAGTCTTTAGGGAAAAAACACCCACAAACTAGACCTCACCTTTGTCAGCAGCATGAAGACAACATCACTGTTGTCCTCACTCAGAAAGGCCACAACTTTTTCATACAAAGTCACAAATTCACTGGGAGAGGCAACGGGAGTGAAGTAAGGAGAAAGGAGGGTACAGAGCCTTCGGTTCTGCAGGATGGTCTCAAGCAGATGTCTGCACTCTGACTTGGTCCCACTGATGAACACCTGAGAAAATTGGGAATGGTGAGAAAAATAGCCCAGCACGAATCGACTGAAAAATACACCTACTAAGGATTTTTTTGTTGAGAAAAGCATAATTTTGGTCCTTCTATAAAAAGGGAAGTCTTTCCTCAAAAACAAAAGACTGTGTCAGATTAACATCAACTAAACACTGTTACTCCACAAGACATAAAGCAAAATAAACATGTTTCCCTAGTACATTTTAGAACAGCACTTGTGATCACATATGTTGTCTAAAAATACCTAGAAGTACTATTTTTCTGATGGGATAGCAAAAGAAAATGAATCCAGATTTCACCAGCCCTGTTCAATAACAGGAAAAACTTAACAGAACTACAGCTATGAAGAGCTTTTCAGCACTTCAGCTGTTAGAGGTGCTTAAGGACAGCTGCATATAGAAACAAACTGTATCTAAGAGATGAAAACATATCTGGACTCAAAGCTTTTTCTCAGAGAACCCACGTAATGTGTTTCCCACAGAAAACATTACCACCAACCAAAAGCACTTTTATTCTCTACCAGAAAACTTCTGGCAAATTCTCTACACAAAGAACACTGCAAGGCTGTAGAACAAAGGTGTCTAAATACTGAGGTTGACAAGACATACATCAACTAGAAAGTGACAGGTAAAAGCAAAGTATATGCTGAAACACACTTTTATGAACTGAAAGTACCTAAACTTCAGTTACCCGCCCAAAAATCCAGCACTCAGCTAACACAGTGAGCATTTGTTAGCACTAAGGAAGTACCTCAGAGCAAGAGTTTTTTATTTTTGCTTAAATGCAAGCTTCAACTCTCCTAAAGACTGTATATTATAACAATTAGTTGAAAGAAAAATGGGATACAAGCTTAGAAGTTAACTTTCAGGCTTCTGAATGTGTCAGACCCCCAATACCAGCAGGCAATTCGAATAAGCATTAGGCATTCAAAAGTCAAATTTTATTCCAAAAGTAAACTCACTTGGCCCAGAATCTCAATGCAGGACGTGAAGAATTGCCTTGTGGGAGGGTTGCGTTGAGTTTCATCACACACATATTCCACCAACGTAAAAAACAAACTAATTCCAACTTTCTTAATTGCAGGCATGGGCTGCACCTTGTAGATATTTATTAAGGCCCTAAAAGAAATTAAATTCAAAAGGTGAATTAAATTTAATGTGTGGAGAATAACCTGTGACAAATGAAGAAAGGTTTCTTGCCAATATGGGGACTTGAGAGGGGTATTTCTGATGCTCCCTGAGCTCAAGTAATTTTGCTGCCTGAAATGGGTACCTCCAAACCTTAGAAAGTCTCCATAAGCAGAGTCAGAAAGTGATCACTGAAAGATTTTCACGGCATAGTTCCAAAGGATTATTTCTCCCTCTAATCACGTGTTCATCACATTCTTAAGGCATCTCAACTACACTTGTACTGCAAGAAAAATTACCTCTTTTACTTCACAGGCTAAACAATAAAAGGATTAAAACAGAATCGTTTCTTGAGTGTTGCCAAGAACATGTTTTGCTGAGATCAAACCCCCATCTTTACTGAGTCTGAATTAAAGAATCTGAAGGACGTGCAATTCCAGAGATGTAAATCCCAAGAACTAGTTCATCCACAGAATTTTTCAGATCAGTGGTCAAGAATGAACACATAGAAATAGTGAGCAAATATTTTCACTTGTAGAAGGAGTGCACTCAGTAGTAAACCAGCTACACTAAGAGAATCCCAGCAGAAATCTGGAAGATTGAGAAGAACCAAGTTGCAAAACCAGACCTCTAGGATGAACTCTGAAAGGTCTTCAAGAGGAAGAGGGCCCTGGACCACCCCATGTATTCACATCACCCAGAAAAGTGGTATTATATAGCCCTATTCCACTTCACAATTTTGTTTCACATATTGAAAAACTACTTCAAATCATAATTCTCTGTTAAAGAACTATGTCCTGCACTATAACAGGCAAAAACCCATAGAGAGAAATATTAAAAACATACAGTTTAGCCTATGGCTGAGACAGCTTGTGGTACAAGTTTGCCACTGCCTAAAGTTTAACACAGCATCCCTGCCATCATCCAGTGTACTTTTGCAGGGTTAGGAGGGCTATTCCAATACACAGAACAATAAACAGAAGTAGAAAACACTACTGTGTGCCTACTGAGGCTGGATGACCTCCTGATAACAGAGTTATTCCTTTGGAGGCCTGTGTCACAAACACACAAGTCCCAGGATTCATGCTCTGTTGTTGACTCGAGCTGACAAGCGCAGCGAAAAAAACCAACGAAACGGGTTCCACATTTTAGCTCTTAACACACAGGGAAGAGAAACACAAAACATCACTGCCTAAAGCAGTGTCTGAACAACCTACGTTATAAAATTCTCCACGTGCACTGCTGCTTCCACAACGCCCAGGGAAGGCGGCTTCGTAGCTTCTGCCTGCAGCTGTCTCACTTCTTTGCGCAGAGCATGAAGCTGCTGGCTCACCGCCTCGTTTTTGTGCTTCCCTTCAAACTAAGTGACAAAAAAAAAAAAAAAAAAAAAAGAAAAAGACAAACATTCACTTCAGAATTCACGGGTTTTTTTTGCTAAAGCTCCTCCGCGTCGCACCTATTTGTAAAATCGAAGCGGAATCCAGTAAGAGGACTCTGCATACAGATGGTTCTCCCCCGCCGAGAGCTTTGATCAGATTTAGCACATCGTGCCCAAGCACACATCCTCGGTCATGTTCCTCCTTAATTATCACACACACTAATACACTTTCATGTAAGGCTTTTAATCACCGGGAACTGAAACTTAGAGGGGATCAAGAAATTAATTTGCCAAGCAACATGGGAGTATTTCTATAAACATTTTCATGCTTCTGTTCCTGTCAGTGAGCATATTCCCATATCCATGCACTGGGAAACAGTTTAAGGTGGATGCTACGAGCAAAACAAGTTATGCAGCAACTTATCCTTCAGCTGTTGATCTGCCCCTTTTGAGCACTGCATATGAGGTATCTCAGGTAACTATTAGGTGCATGGACTTATTTGGTCAGCTGCTACCGTTCTTATAATGATTCAGACATATCACATTCATCCTCTGTGTCCAGCAGCACCAAGGCAGAAGGGATGATACAAGTTTCTCACCTGGATGGTGAGCAGAGCTGCTCCCTGACAGCCCTTATTGGAAGTCCCCCGGCACTCCAAATGGAGGGTGATCTGCTCTTCCCTGTTCACAAACAGCTTAGGCACCGTGTCCAGTATTTCATTATTGAGAGCAACATGCTGCGATTCCCAGAGAGCTGCAGTTCTGAAAAACCATTTATTCATAAAATTACCAAAATCTGTATTGAAAAACGGTAATGCTAAGAACTCATAAGCAAGAGATGAAACCTCAATTTAATGTGCCGTACAAAGGCTCATGACACCTTCCTAGAAAACATAAAAGGTTATTAAATTAAATTGAGTTAAAACTTCAAAGTAATAGCACTTCAAAGTAATAAAAAAAACAGGTTCATAAGAACAAAACTACTCAAGTATGCATGAGTTCCTTTGAATTATTTTATATGACAACCTGGAAGGAAACTCAATAGAATATCCTCTGTAGAAAATGCAATTTTCCACAAAAAAAAAAAAAACAAAAAAAAAAACCAAACCAAAACAAACTCAACCATGGGATGATTCAGTCAGGGGGAAAAAAAACCAAACCCACCTAAAATTGCTGTTGGAATTGTTTCAACACAATCTCTTGGGTTTAATAACTTTTTGGTTCATAATATCGTTATTAAGTGACTACACTGGGCAAGAACAGCTACAGATTGATCAGTTGTGTTTGAAAATAATTCAGCTGGATTCTCTGATTAAGAATATTAAAAACAGAGAGTCTCTTTCACTCACAAAGCCAACAGATCCAGAAATCAGATTTCTTTCTCGGGGGCTCTGGTGCTTCATATTGCAACTACTACATTAGTGCAAAAGCGTTAAGTAACTCATTGTCAAGAAATTTAGGCTAAAAGGAGGCTTTATTTCAGAAAGTATGACAAATGAGAAAAGAAATGTAGAAGTTAGATGCTGGATCATATAAACTCAGACATTAGATAAGACTTGTGCAGTCTTGTCTCAGTTGAAGGACTAGAATAACAACACGATAGACAAGAAGAAAGAGAAAACAAATAGGATAAGAAATCAAGTACTGATGGGTCTTGTGCCAACACCACAAATGAGGCTGTTGTGAAGGGCATCGTTAGGAAAAAATTCCTGGCTATGAGGGTAGTGAGGCCCTGGCACAGGTTGCCCAGAGAAGCTGTGGCTGCTCCATCCCTGGAAGTGTTCAAGGCCAGGTTGGACGGGGCTTGGAGCAACCTGGGATAGTGGAAGGTGTCCCTGCCTGTGGCAGGGGCTGGGACTGGATGCCCTTTAAGGTCCTTTCCCAAACCATTCTGTGATGATGCTCAGACACTGCTGGACACACCAGAGAGGCAGAAGGAACACAGCTATGACTTACTTGGCATGTTGCTGCAGGATGTTCAGGTCCTTACGCATGAGCTGAACTGCTTCCTTCTGACTCACTAGACTGGCAGAGGAAATGACTGGCACAGGGGCTTTCATTGTCTGGAGTGGGAGAGGGGGCTTGGGAGTATCAAACTTCTTCAAATTATTTATGATCCTCTCTTTGGCTACAAAAAGAAAGCAGAAGCAAGTTCTGTCAATAAGAAAACTTCAGAGGAAGCTCAACAAAAGCATTAATTTTTTGGCATGAAACATTTTCAGCAGCAGACAAGTATTTCTCAGGATTCCTCTTTTTAAAAAGGAAAAAAAAAAAAGTCAACTAATCTTCCTATTTTTCTCAAAGTCTGTTTTACACAGCTAATTTTCATTACCAGCTCCTCCATCACACAAACATTAGGATCAAAAGCCCCACTGCTTTCCTTGTTTCCCCCAACCAGTCCCACCTTCCTCATATCACCCCATTTATTTTCCTCATATCACTCCATTTATTCTTCTCATCTGACAGAGGCTTCCAGATCCAGTCTAAGCAAAATTCATCTTCCTTTCCCTACAGCTCATTCTCACCTTTTGTCTTGTCAGCTCCAGTTCCTCCCCAAAGCACAGCCTCTCCCCAGGTCGGCCTTCTCCTCCTGCTGATTCCCGCTCAGTTTCTTTGTCCAAACTAATTTGCCTATGAAACTATTCCAGTTTCCTTCCATTCCCTCCCTCTCCTTTTTTAATCAGTCACACAAAAAAATCCACTGTTTTCAGTTACAGAGGGTTTTCCCTTTGCTTGCAGCTGTCTCTACCTAAACTTCGGGAAAATTCAGCCTGTGTGGGACATCCTCTGTGCAGAGGAATTTTTGGGGAGCTCACCCATGAAGCTCTAGCTCTGCTCTGTGATGTGGCAAACTTGAAGCCAAAACCATCCATGTTAACCTCTCACATGAGAATCTTAGTGGGGAAACCATGACAACTTCATGCAAAATACTGTACCCAGAGAAAACAAACTGTACTGACATCTTCATTCACGGGCATCATTAAATCCCTAGAGAAACCAGGGCTTTGACACCCTCAAAGTCCTTTATGGTGCAGTTTCATTAATAATATTCTTATCTCTTACCTGATAAAGGGTTGGTGAAATCTGTCTGCCCTGCAGGAACACAGGTTGTATGTGATTCGAGCTGAACCTGCAGCCAAAGGTTTAGAGCTTCCTGAAACTCGTGGTGTATGAGTTCCACATTGACAAACTCCATCCACAAATCCTGAACCACAAAAGAATTAAATTACCATTCCTATTTTGGTCAGTAGCATACACTGTGCATTCATCCTAGTAGCTGTGGAACTAAAATAAGTACATAAAAACAGACCCTGTAGTTTTAGGTCATAAGAAATGTATTATTAAGGGGGAAAACAGCCTAACCTGAAGAATTCTTACCACATATACAGAAGCTACTGAAAAGCATTCGTGACACTTAGAGAAGAAATCTGACATGGTATAATTTCTGACAAATAAGAGACAAAGGGTACAGATTATTAAAAATCTGTTCTTAAAAAGCAAACATGAAGACCACTATAGTCTAAAACATCACGGCATAATTAACTGCTGCATTTCCAGCAGTCACATACACTAGAGGAATAAAAACAAAGCAAGCATAAGGAAATGCCCTTCCAAAATCTCCCCTCTTACAGGTTTTTTAGTTACACTAATTCTTTAGGCTTGATGGACAGAATAATATACACTTCCCACTCACAAACTTATATTTGAACCTGACATTTTACAGACTACCAACATGAGCAGGTTTTGGCTTCCAGTCTTTTGTTATTTAAAATTCCAACTTGAACAATTCTCTAATATTATCTTAGAATGCAAATTACAGAGCAGTACAGAATAAGGACTGTGTTGTCATTAAGATATGTAAGGAATCTACTTCTGAGCCCTCTTTCAAATATAAAGGAAGGCAGTTTGCTGTATGCGTGTTCAAGACTAGTGACACCAAGTCTCTCACTGATTTCAAGGACTCATTTTAACAAGTGAACTTTGGATCCCAGATTTGCAGGGTTATTAGCACTTTACCTGTTGATTCTGCATGACTTTAGCAAGTCTATGTACATCATACTGCTTTGGTAAAGAGGGAATGTATGTGTCTCCTTTCTGGAAATTCTCTTCTTCCAACCACAAAACTAAAACATTACAAAGCCTGAGAAAAAAAGAGAAAAAAAGGGAAAAAACATATCAGTGTGAACTTTGATTGTTCTAGGGTTCAGAATTAAGGCAACAAATACTGCTACAAGGTGACACAGCTCAAAACTGGGGTTTCAGGTGCTTTTTGAGTAGTTTACTGTCAGTTCAAATACCATCAGTGACATGAAGCCACTTAGAAAAATACAAAGAGTAATAACAAAGAGTAACAGGACAAATTCTGAAAAGGAAAACATTTATGCCAATTAGCACAAGACCCAGGACTGGAATAGTCTATTATGCCAGGGAATCTCACCACAACCCAATTCAAATGACCACAGGAAAAAACAGAGTACATGTGAGCAAGTTTGGCTTCTCACCCCATGACTCCTCTAGACTGCCTGCTCTAAAAATCAACATCTGAGTTGAGTCACATTCTTCAAGTTTTTTTTCCAGAGTGTCATTCATGGCTAGTTTATTCTCATTTCCTCCTCTGCTAATAGTGTACTTTTACATAAATACACCTATTTCTTCAGCTGGCATCATTCCACTGAGTGGTACCTTTTCTCTAACCATACTATCCAAGCCTTCCTGACAAGGAAGCACTAAAATGCCATTAAATCTTCACACTGTGGTATTAAATAACACTAGCAAACTCCTGTTTCCTACATCAGTGACATTGGTGAAAAAATGGGAGTGGTCTAGTTCCAAGAAATTGGCCCTTATAAGCCCTACCAATAATTCCCCCCCTGTCTAGGAAACTAGACAGGTCGCTCAACTTCCTTAACCTAAGATTTACTTGGGTGTAGAGCAGTCTGTATTTATACTGGAGTGGGGAACTTCTCTGAAATGAAAGACTGAAAATATCAACCAAGTCACACCCAGTGAGCATCTCTGGACTATTTTTCACAAAGGCCCAAGTAGGATTTATGATCTCCCTTGTTTGTTGGTACAGTACCTACTGACTGCTGAGGGGAGCACCCACCAGGAGCTCAGATTCCATACACCCAAAGCCTTTGAATAAGGGACTCTTTCCAAATAATCCTTTCATCTGGTTTCTGGGACTATTCAAGTACTGCCATATTGCAAACACTTCTTATGGAGGACTTTTCAGACCACAAGTCTCCGTGTTACAGAACCACTGACTTTGGAATAGCAAAGCCTCAGTTTTAGTGTGCATAAGGCATCTCTTAGAAGTTACCATCCCTTACAAAAGTAAGGGATCAGCAGGTGAGTGGCAGTGAGTGACTATACCCCTTTCCTTAGACTACTCCAAGACAAAAAGAGAGCTTTGTGCCAAGGCTTTGGTTAAGCAGACTTATCATTTTTCAGGTGGCACAGAACGCCCTTGGCACAGCTCACCTTTAGCTTGCTAACCAAGCAAACTGCACAAAGTGAATCATGTGCTCAAGTCCCCAGTATATTTCCTGATGAAATCATCATAATTAACATAAATTTAAGCCCTGGTCTGTGACAAACAGATGTATACAAACCAAGTAGCACTCTACATTTACAGCTAGTGATGCACATGTAGGTAGCAGATATGCCTAAACAATAAATATTTTACCAGCACAGGGTTACTACTATTCATTAAAAAGCAAAGCTCCTCCCCTAAGGGGGGGTGACAACTCTATTAACAATGTTTTATTTTTAGTTGTAAAATCAGCCCCCTCTCCAACAGAACACATTGTACCACCAGAGGAACTGATTTGACCACAACCTGGGGAGCTGGGTTAGCGGTGGCCTTGGCAGTGCTGAGCTAATGGCTGGACTTTATGATCTGAATTTTTCAACCTGAATGATTCTATGTATATAACAAGTCCTGCAGCACATCTAAGGCCGCATCCCTTCGCGTCTCACACAGCTACAACTGTGCTGTAGTAGTTACTTGGGCATTTGCACAGAATAAGATGGAACTGGGCAGGTTTTTTTTACCTGACAAGCTCCTTATGCAGCTCAGGTGAAGTAAGGTACTCAGGTGAGCAGCTGGCCTTCTCTGGTGACCTGTCAGTGCCCTCAGCAGGGCTCTCCACCCTCAGTGCTTTGCTGGCAGCGTGGTGGAAGTCTGCCACCTCTATCAACCGCTGTTTCATCTCGTTCAGCAAGTTCACGTGAGCTGCACTCTGGAAAAAACGCCTCCCAATACAGCCATCTACAGGTAACCTGAAAAGCAAACAAAAAAAAGCACAGCTAAGTCTTGTTGCAAGTGCCAAATCAGCATCTCTGCTTGCTGATCTACAGGAGCAGGTGAGACTCACCCGTACTGTGGTCCTGGTCGGTGAAGGTAGAGGAGGAAGAATTTCTGCCAGATCAGTGGCATGAGAGGGTGATCTGCCGGGGTAGCAAGGGCCTGGTGAGCCCAGCGGTAGATCATGAGCCTCTGAAGGGAAGGGACGATGGGCAGCTTCAGCTGGGCCTGGGCTTTCTGCAGAAACAACACTTTCAGACAGGTGTTCTGCTGTAACAGGCTGTCACAGGTTAATTTAACAGAGTAACACAGCACGCACAGTTGGTAATTACAGAGGAGAAAACTTTGGGAACAGTCACACATCTGTTCCAGGTCTTGAAGGATGAGCTGCCCAGCTCACAGTTATGCTGGAGAGCAGAGCTACACCTCCAATGCTGAAAAAAAAATACCATGACGGCTCTGATGCAAGGCCAACATATGGGCCATTGGTGCTAATTACAGCTAATTACTGTTCTTCCTCACAGAGGTAGATGCTCCTGGTTTAGACTTCCAGCATGCTACTTTTATCTTTTTCCAGCCTACATTCCATATAGCTCTAGTGAAAATTCGAAATGTAGAGTAAAACTGACTTGAAGAAAGAATACAGAAGGAAAAGCAGAACGAAGACAAAGCAACACCCCGTATTAGCAACAGCACAGACCCACTAAATCATTGAACAGTCCCACATCAAGCCCTCCTGGACTGTGCCTGATGCAGGGCAATGCAAGGCTTTTCCCCAGTTCCCAAACCTCAGAGCAGACCCTGGCACTACCTCATCACCTACACCAGACCTCAGGAACCCTCAGCATCCTTTTTCCACACACTACCCACATACTACTTGGCTAAATCAAGACATGCAAGCCAAAGGACTAATGTTTTCCAGACTGTGCTTCAAGGATGCGAGACATGTACCAGCCTGGACAGAGCCCAGGCAAATCTAGTTTCATGGGGCTTCATTAAAACACACTGAAACAGCTGAGATGAAAGATGGGCCAAAAGTCACACTTTTGAGACTGGACAGCTTTGCTTTCCACTCGCTTTGCTCCAGAATTTCTAACTGAATTAGGTCAAAGAACCTGGAAAAAGCTTGCAACGTGGCCTAAAATACACCTGATTAAGTTCCTTGTTAAGGGAGAGACCTAAACAGTTCCGAAAGCCTTGGAAAATAATTCAGAAAATGGAGAAAAGTAGAGGCAAAATTCAGATCATCTGAGAAATCATCTGTTTGAAATACAGACTCATTTTCCCACCTGAAAAATAAGCACTCCCCACCCCAGTAGTATAGAGTAAATCCACCAAAAGTCATGAGGCATTCAGATGACCCAGAAAATCATGCAAGAACACAAATTAGTAACTGAAGTCTGAAGTTTTCTGTATTATTTGCATGGTAGTTTTTAAATGTAAAACAACTCAAATGTACTCAAAATGTAGAAGAAAACTTCCCTGGGGTATATTTTCACCTGTAAAGCCAGATAAAGCATTATTTATTCTTTTACCCTGGTAAGAAAAAGTACGTAAGATAAAACTAAATGACACAAGGGAACACTTCTCTCTCTAATAAAAAGGAATGGACAGTTCTCTCACCTTCAAAGCTTGGTCAGGAGTTAAAGCATTAATAACCAGCTCCCCCTCCACAACTCTGCGAAGCTGTGAATCTTCTTCAAATATTGACTCCATATTTAACACCATCCACGAAAACCAGACCTGGACAACACAGAAATAACAGAAACATTGATAAGAAAATAGCGGGGATAGGATCAGGAAGCTTGCTGCTTTCTTAAGAGGAACATGTCTTTGACAGATTCCAACTACAAAGCTGGAAAAGGCAGTATCACATCTCAAGAAGAAAACCAGTTTCCTCTTTATCCTCACATTCAAACTTCCCCTTCGTATTTTGTACTATCTTGGGACAGAAAGGGAAAAGCAGGGACAACAGACAGAATTATCCAGAGAGTTCTGGAGGAAACAAACTCGGTAAAATAAGATCTCCTTTCTCCCACCTGCACTACACATCTCCATTTGTGGTACTGCAGGGTTTTTCTTCCTTTTGCTTGAACAAGGAACTCAGACAGAGAGAAGGCAACTAAAATTCAAAATATTTATCAGATAAAGACTGATCTAATAGAAAAGTCAGGCTTCACATATTTTCTCTTATTAAATAGATTGAGAGTAACTGAAGATTAGAAAGAAAACCTAACTACTAAATCCTATTATACGAATTCTTGGACACAGATTAGACAAACTCTCTCCATGGAAAATGTCCATGTTCCCTTCAGTGTAATAAACCCACAGAATTCTCTTAGGCTAAATTAGGACTTTATCACAAGAAAATGAAAAAAAGAAAATAAAAATCACTCTGGGATAAGAAAAAAAAAGGAACAAGAAAAAAATCTGCAAAAACATGCAAAAGCAGGGAAAAAAGAGCCCTCAAGACACCTCTACACTGCTTATCTCAGGGCTGTTCACACAACACCATCACTTACCTGAGAGGGATTGGCATTGCCCTCCACAAAAGATGGTGTCACATTGCCAGCCACGATCCAGCTAACAAGGGAAGACAGCAGACCTTTGTCACAGTGATAGCCCAAAGCATTCTGCACAGAAACAGAAAACATTTGGGTCTTTTTTTTTTAAGAAGCAGTGATTTAGAAGATTTAGGTATTTCTATTTAGAAGATTTAGGTATGTCACTCTACTTTCATACAAGTTCCTTTCTGACTCATATTGCTACTTTCCCATCTTAGCTCAGCCAGGCACCACTGAGATGCCTGCTTGTACTTCATTTCTTTTTTCAGTGAAAATATCCTGTTTCACTGAACTCTGTTTTTTTCTGGAGAGGAAGTCCCATTTTTGTTCTAAACACACTACTGAACATCTGGAATGCAAAGAACACAAACTGTGATAGAACTCATATGAATGAAAACTGTGTTACAAATTGGTTTTAATAATTACTATCAAAATATCAGACATTTCACTGATTTTGACCCACTCAGAAGAAAATCAGATAACCTCATTATCACTTATGCCAGATTGTCCAGAAAAGCTGTGGCTGCCCCATCCTTGGAAGTGTCCAAGGCCAGGTTGGACAGGGCTTGGAGTAACCTGGTCTAGTGGAAGGTGTCCCTGCCCAAGGCAGGATTCTATGACTGTTTCTGTAGCACTTCAGGAAAATACACTCACATCAAAATCAGAGTGAGCAACAAACAAACTGACCATTTACTCAACAGCCACACCAGTACACCACAACTATTTACCTTGTGCTGTTGGTAAAGCAGCTTTTGTACACAGTCCTCTTGACTGTACTGAAAAGCAGCTTTACATAAGTCATCCAGCAAGCAGAGTGTTGCCCTGTCCCGGTGCCACAGCTGCTGGCTGGTGAGGACCTGGACCCAGAACTCCAGTACTGCAGCTGGTCCCACTCCATTTGGCTGGTCACTTACAAAAATGTGAGTCTGCCAAATAAAAGTGTAAAATCAGTCAACAGATTGCAGCATCAATTAAAGGTTAAGCATCTATTGAAGAACTGTTTAACTTGCACAAGGCTGTGGGCCTATCCTTCAAGTACATGCTCTCTATACCTAAGCAAGGACAGCTTTGTTAACTCCAGCCTCCAAACTCCTGCAAATTCTACAGCCTGGAGAGCAGAGCATCTTGTGCAAGCAGCAAAAACAGGCATAAAAGCCTTAAGCAGGACCCCTGTGACCTGGAGGCATAAATAGCATCTATTTCTTAAGTGTCACCTGCTGTTCCTGTAAAAGGACTTCCCAGAGTAGGTCTGTTTCCCTTACCCTCCTCTAATGTTAGATGACCTTGCTCCTTGACCTCTCTGCACTTCAAAAAAATACTACTGTTCCCTCACACAGCAACATTTTTTTCATCCCACAGCCCCAAATGAATGGCCAAAAGCAAAGCTTTCAAACATTAATACACTTGCTGCATTCCTCGAATAACACAAATAAGAGAGTAGTGCTGCACATCACATTTCCTTTTTTTAAGCAGGTATGACCTGCTATTGGAAAATTAATTTTCCAAGAAGTCTGGAGGGGAAACGTTGTTGTTATGTCCAGTATCAGATGCACTGCCAGATTTAGGCAAGTTTAAGCAGAAGCATTTCAGGAAACTAAACCCAACTATTTAATGCTAGATGCAGGGCACTCCCTGGCTGCACAACTGCCAAATTCAGTATCCTTTCCAACATTAAACACCAGCTTGGTCAAAACAGCCTGGTTTTAAATACTGTCCCCCCTCCCTTCTTTTTTTTGTTAAATAATCTTCTTACCTGTATCATACTACTGAGCAGCTTAACGTTTTCTCCATAGTTCACACCTGTCAAGTGCTGTGTCACTTTATGGGTAACCTGCTGGGTAACTCCTTGAGGGACTCCACTGTCCAGATGAAGGAACAGTTGGATGTAAGATAAAAACCTAGGGATGTCAACAAACGAAATTAACTCTAAAATATCTTCTGCTAAGTAACAAATAGAAGAGCTGTGTCTAGGGAACTTAAAACCAGCTCAACAGCACTGCTGACAGACATATCCAGGGCTTTGAGTCACACCCACAGTGCAGATTTATTTGCTCCACTTTAGCCATATAATAGGCACAGTACGAACATTTCATGGCAGACTGTAATTCAAGGCAGCTCATCAGGACTAAATACAGTCCTTGATCTACATCAGCATCGAAATCTAGCACAGGAGTTGTTTGGGAGACTGTCAAGTGGTCCAAGACAAAGGCACCTCAGTGACCACGTTACAAACTGACCAGGACAGACATCTGAAGTCCAGCACTGGACATACTGTGTCCCTACTGATACTGCCAGCTGGTCTTTCTCACTCATCTAACACCACAGCTACTTGAAATACAGCTGCCTGAAGAACACTTTTGTGGCACAGCAGCAGCAACAGCTGTACACGTGGTGTCAGCAGGACACACTTCTACTACAACTATTTCCTCAACCACAGTCAATGCCAAAAAGTTAGTCAGCACAGAAACCAGATGTACTTCCATCATCATGTTCTCACTGGATGCAAAACCCAGCACGAAGCCATGTAAATTTAACAGTTAAGATTAACTTTCATTGCAATTACCGTAAATTAAGCAAATAAATATATAAAATAAATAAATAAGTGTATCATGAACATAGAATGCTTACTGTTCATTCTTCAGGAGGTAATACTGGCAAGAGTAAAACAATGGTAAAATTTTATCCAGCACATGCACCACTGTTCTCAGATGTCTAGACTGGACGAGTACACCCAAAAGAGGGATCCCTTCAGCACAGAACTTCTCAATGCTATAAAAAAAAAGTATATAATTAAGAAAAACACATTGACTATCAGTAGAAAGAAAGATTAGGTGTTGATTTAGTCTCTATAATCTGAGATGTAAATACATTCATAACTTTACACTTCATCTTTGAAAACCTAAACAGCTAAATCCAGAGCTTTTTATTCAGCTATAGGAACCATTCAACTGCTGACAGACTAGGTAAGTATTTCCTGCCCTTCTGTGGATGTGTCCCATCTTCTGAAAATCCCTGGAGATGCAGGTCTTCCTCCACATCTCAGTTTAAAGCTCAGTGGTGTTCCCTAACCCAGCCAACTCGCCTCCCTGTTTGGGCAAAAGAAGAACCCACAAAGGGAGTTTCACATGTTCTGGCTTTGACATCTCCTCAGTTCGGAGGATGGTCTGCACATCTTTCTTCACTACTTGTAGATGGACCCCCCAGTTTCAAATGGGGGTTAACAGTACTGTTTCAAATGACTATTTTCACCTTAACATGCAGAAGGCAAAAAATACTATTAGCAAAATAAAGGAACTACCGTGTTCTTTGAAAGAAGAATTCAGGAAGAATTTCTTTTCACAGAAGGGGTTGTCAGGCATTGGAACAGGTTGATCAGGGAGGTGGTAGAGTCACCATCCCCAGAGGTGTTCAAGAAACAAACTGGATGTGGCACTCAGTGCCCTGGTCTAGGTGACATGGTGGTGTTTGGTCAAAGGTTGGACTCGATGATCTCAGGCGTCTTTTCCAACCTAAATGATTCTGTGATTCTGTCCAACTACAGTCACAGAATCACAGAATAATTAGGGTTGGAAGGGATCTCTGGAAATCCTCTAATCCAATCCCCCTGCCAAGGCAGGGTCACTTGGAGCGTCACACAGGAAAGCATCCAGGTGGGTTTAGGATGTCTCCAGAGAGGGAGACTCTAAGACCTCCCTGGGCAGCTGTTCCAGAGCTCTGCTACCCTAAATATAAAGAAGGTATTCTTCGTGTTGAGGTGAAACTTCTTGTGTTGTAGTTTATGGCAATTGCACCTCATCCTATTGCTGGGTAGAGTCTGGCATCATCCTCTGACACCCACCTTTGAGATGTTTACGTGCATTAATGAGATCCCCTCTCAGTTTTCTTTAGGCTAAACAAGCCCAACTCCCACAGTGTCTCCTCAGAAGAGAGACACTGTCCCCAACAGACTCCTCAATGCCTTGCATCACAAGTCCTTTTTCATTCAAACAGGCATGAAGAACTTTAACAACCCTCATCTCACCACCAGGGAGGTTGCTCAGTCACTGGGGCCAGTCACTGGGGCCACCCATCCAAGGCAAACACACAAGAAGCACTTACCTGTGCCCCAGGGTGGTCATGGCCAGTGCCAGGTAGCAGCCTATGGGGATGTTTGCTTTCACAGCCTTGAGCAGGGGGTGCAGCGCGACCGACTCGGCCGCGTCGAGCGCGCTGTCGCACACGGGCACGGGCGGCCCGCCCTGCTGCACCCCGCGGTCGTTCCTGTGCAGCTTCAGCCTCAGAATCAAACTCCAAGCCCACTGGTTGAAGGAAGTCTCCGGCGTTTCTCCGTAACGAACAATGCTGGCTAAGTAGGAGACCTGGGACAGAGCAGCAGGAGCAGAAATGAGAGGGAGCACAGCTGAAACAACACAGCACACGTGGCTCCAGTCGGGGACTTGGGGCAGCTCGGATGGGCCTGCTCTTCTATCACAACACTGTGACACAGGAACTGGCACTAGATGATCTCTGGGGTCCCTTCCAACCCAAACCTTCTATGATTGTACGATCAGACCAGCAGTAGTTATTCTTTAGACACACCATGTAGTTTATCTAAACACTCTGTTCCTATTGCCTTGATTTCCACCTCCTCTCCCTACCCCTCCCATCCTTTTTAGTAAAGGCTGTCAACACTGTTTGCCTAGATTTTTCCAAGCTGGATGTGGATCTTGGATTGAATTTTGATTTTACTACTGAAAAAAGAAAGCCACACAACAACCTTCCACAATGTTTACAACCTTTAGGACAGCTAGTGTAAAAAAAGTAGCATATGTCAAAAAAAAAAAAAAAACAACTAAAACCTAGCAGCCTCTCCTTAGAAAGAAGTCTGTAATGTGGACAGGTAGAGTCTGTGCCACCTACATGTGGCCGTGGTCATGAAGATCCTGTCTAGATCAGAAAGTATTATAAATCTTGGGGAAAACAAAATATTGTACGTGCTCTGACAGAGTATTGTAAATTGCAGAGCTGGGAGGCAATGCAGGCATTTCACCCTCTCAGAACAGGGGTACAAAAACCTAAGCACTATTTTCTCTCTAATTCCATTTACGAGCTCAGGCAAGTCAGGACAGATTCCCCAATACAAGTGGCAGCCAAGGCTGAAATAGGCTTAAAATAGAGAACTCCTCTGGCTGGCACAAAACAACAAACCATGGCCAAGTAGTGCAGAGGGGCAAGTCAGAAAAGATCAGAGACAACAAGGAACATGAAGAGTGTGGGAAGAAAACACGGGGGGGAAAAGCACGTGGGAGGAGGAAACATTGTACAAGAAATCCTGAGAAGACAAAGTACAGCACAATGCTAAAAGCTCTGAATAAATAAATGGAAGCATCTTGGATTGAACAATGAAAACAGGGATTTTTTTTAATCGTGATCTTTCTATCCTTCCATTCCCCTTCTGTAACTTGGAGCTATCCCTTCCTCAGTGACTGATGTGCTGTAAAATCAACGTAACAAACATTTGTGGGGTGTTCAGGTCACACAGCACTGACTGAAAAGCTTCTAAAGGGATTAACATCTGAGTCTTCAAATAAGGTAATACTAAGAGATGGAATCATAGGGAGGATGTCTCTTCTGCTCCAGTTTGTGACTATTCAACTACAGATCTACATGGGGGTCAAAATTAAAATGACTATTTCAAGAAACATCGAGAGAGAATATTTACAAGGGCCTGGAGTGACAGGACAAGCAGGAATGGCTTCCTACTGACACAGGGTAGGGTTAGATGGGACATTGGGAAGAAATTCTTCCCTGTGAGGGTGGTGAGGCCCTGGCACAGGTTGCCCAGAGAAGCTGTGGCTGCCCCATCCCTGGGAGTGTCCAAGGCCAGGTTGGACAGGGCTTGGAGTAACCTGGTCTAGTCCTTGCCCGTGGTACAGATGATCTTTAAGGTCCTTTCCAACCCAAACCATTCTATGATTTTATGATTCTCATACAGATGTTCCACATAAGCCTAACAGCTGTTTTCAGACAGCTCTGTGGGTGCAGACAATACTGAATGTTGGTATGTTATGATACTCTAGCAGGATCGAGATAGAACATCTTTAAAAAAATAAAAGAAAGAAAACAAGGTCTTGACTTGCAGTTTTTCCTGATTATCACCATTCATAAGGTATTTCCTGTAATTCTGAAGAACAGATACCTGCTTTATGCTTTCAGAAAGCAGCCCAGCATAGGGTTTCTGGGAGAGATATTTCTGATACGCTTCCAGGACCATCAATGCAACTTCAGAATGGACAGCTGGATCCAGATGAAGAGCAGATTGCTAAATACAGAATCAGAACACAAAACTTTATGTAATTTTAAAAGGTCTCTACAACTGTATCATTCAGTTGCACTACAGAGAAATAAATCTTAATCTCTTTCTGGCAGTTCAAATTAAATATTACGATATCCAGGCAAAATCTTGCCCATAAGAAAAATTCAGCCCAACATTTAAGAATTCTGGGCTCACACCGGGCAAACACAAATAGATTATTTAAAAAAAAAAAAAAGTTGATCACAATCACTTTCCATGTGCATTTCATGAATTTATAGCAATTAATCCAAAAATCCATAGATGCCATTTTAAATTACATAACACAGAAACTGGAATTCTTCCCTTTAAAAGCAAACCCAACCCACATCACCATGTTTTTTGTATGAAAACACAGTAATTTCCTCTTATCAACTGCCACATTACAGAACTGTTTTTCTCCATATCAGAAGGCACAGACATGGCCCTGTTAATGCACAGCAAAGATCTCTCTGTTCATTTTCCCTACCTTTTCCCTTTTTCTTCACACGTCATCAAGAAACAGGGAGAAAAAGTAAATATTTTTGTACAAGCATCAACACAGCAAAGAGAAGAGTTCAGAATGACCAAATGCCCAGGCTGCAATGCTAAAATGGATTGCAGAACATAGACAACAGGGTTTTTTTTCCCCCAATTTATTTCTGTTTCTCTCTAAAATAGCATTTACCCTCGAAGTGGATCCTGAACTGATTAAGCTCCTGGAGGAGCCCAATATATGGACCAATTTCTAATCACTTAAATAATGTTCAGGGTTCTGAAATTTTTCATTTCCATCATTAGTTTTCTTGCATTGTGAAAGACATACCTGGATACCAGCATGCAAACTACAGCCACACCAGTCTCCTACAAACTCCTTGGAAGATTCCTCTATTTCTGCAGCCACAGGCATCTTAATCTTAATCATAAAAATTGTCCTGTCAGCTGTTTCCTCTTGTTTAGAGAGAGGAAACTCTCGCTTAAATGTCTCTTTTAATCTCAGCTACAAGAAAGCAGCATGAGCAGAACGTTATAAAATTACTGTGAAGTTCCCATCCTGTGCTATTAAGTGCACAGACATTATATAAAGCATGTAATTAACTGTTTTCCAGTTCATTTCTAATCCCAAGTTGAGTAAAGCTTTTGCTCTGAAAAACTGAGGAGTTTTCAAAACTGTTTTCAATACATACCTGCTCCCCAAATCCCCAGTTCAGCCCTTCCAGGATAATGCAGGCAAGCTTATTCTCCACTGTTGTCAGGCCGTAATTTAATAACCAGTCACGAATCAGCGCTATCTCGGATGGAGAAGGCTTCCACAGGTACAATGGCAGCTCTTTAAACAGGTACAAGGAAACCTTTGAGGACAGAAAAAAAAAAGGATAATCAGGACTCAACACAATAATCAGCATTATGCTCTTCTGTCTTAAAGAGTGGAATAACCAAAAAACCCCCATAGACAGGTCTTTACACAATCCATTCATGCCAAGACGTATCTTGTGACACAGTCTGGTTATGGCCTCCAGTTTTAACTGCTTTAAATGATGGACATTGCCACTTACCATCCCAACCTTCTCAATGGTCTCTCTAATTCGATCCAGCAGTATGGAAATAATCTGCGTGTGGATGCTGGCAATGGCTCCCAAGAGTTCTCGACCAACTTTGGAAAACGTCTCTCTTGTGGAAAGGCTAACATAGGACACCTGGAAATATGAGCAGGAAGAAGTTACTGGTCTTGGCTGACCTTCACTGGCACTGAAATAAAATGTCTTTTGGAAAATACAGAACTGAATTGCTCAGTAACTGGTCATCGTGCACAAAGATTACTCATAAATGCCAATATTAAAATTAAAATGATTGCCCCAAAAGACAAAGGAACTGCTATGTCACAGTGCTAAACACAAAGTCCAAAATTAAGCACAGGACCAACACCACAACACACTAAAAAAATTAGCACCAAAATCTAGAGACCACAACAGAAAAAACACCACACAAGGAAGTTCAGAGCTACAGGTTAGATCTGCATCAGAAAAATAAAACAACAAAATAACCCCCCCCCCATTTTTCTTCATTTGTTTCATTCTGGATTTGTTTACAGAAATGCTGTTCTTTTTCCCAGAAATAAAAGCCAAGTCCTTCAGGCTATTTTAATTCAGCACCAGATTATAAATCTCAGAAGTTGCCCTTTCTTAGTTCCATGGTATAATAAACAACAGAAGCCAAGAAAGTTCCACACCTTCCACTGTTAGAAATGGAAAGAGCACTTCCATCCTTCTCCTGAATGGGCCAGTAACATCACTCACCTCATATATCTCCAGAACAATGATTTTGATAAAATCCTCATCAACATCAGCCCGTTTGGTTTGTGCCATCTGAGCAAATGTGGTGAGCAGACAGATTTCTTCTGAGCAGTTCATTGACTGGAGATACTTTTCAAAATTTTCGAGGTGCTGTGGGTCTAGGGAAAAAAAAAATCAAGTGAAAGAAACATGATAAAAGAAGTGTTATAGGACAGATATCAACATTTATACACTTACACTCCAGTCCAGGAGAAGGAACCAGTAACAAAGTAATTATAATCACTGGAGTCTTGTAAATTAGTAGCCTCTCTTCAGGAGTGGCTGAAATTCAACTTTTAGTATTATTTTAACTATGCCATGTCAGTCATCCACAGGAAGAACTGCTTGAATCTTTCTGCTTTTTAAAAACAGTATCACAGTTTTGGCTTCCATTACATACTAGAGCAATTAATTCCACAGATTAAGCCCAAATTATATGAAAGGATTCTAGTTTTAATCAGGACACGGCCAGGAGAAGATTAAAACTCAGTCCATCCAGGCACAGCAGAGAGGTTTTGATCAAGAAGAGAGACATTGCCCATTTCACATCCCTTGATCTCAAGCAGCAATTAAACTGGGGAGATCATTCTATGATGATTACAAATAAAAATACTGCAAGTATTTTGCCCTGGGCTTAGATTATGCCTAAGAGTTACAAGGAAAAGCGAGACTCAATTTCTCAAATTCAATACAAGAAAAAGTACTGGGTGCACTTGTTTGAAGCGTATCTCTGAAAACAGAGAACTGAAGCTGCACAGGAAGAAAGGCTACGAGATGCTTTCAGGTTTCCTCTTTAAACCCGACAGTGAGATGCTGCCAAACACAAATAAATGTTCCTTTCCTAAGGCTGGGGGACAACAGGAAGGCCAGGGTACAAGGAAACCTCCACGGGGCTTTAAAATAACTTAAAATTAAATAATATTAAAATATTTTATTTAAAGTAAAATAATTTTAAATTAAAATAACATATAACTAAATAGAATTTCTGCAGTAAAGCAAGGACTGGAAGCAGCACTTGAGCTGCAAAAAGGTTTGGAGAGTGGCCTGCCTCCTCTGAAGCACAGCATGCCAGTAAGAACTGTTTACAGTGATTTTACCATAGCAGTGGAATATACAGAAAAAGCACTTATTGTGGCACTCAGCTACCCAACCTGTACAGGCACATGCTCAGCGGGCTTGTGATTAAACACTCGCACTTAAGTTACAGTCTATTTTAAGGGCTTTCAAGAATTTTGCAACTGTACCTCAACCTGAGAAGGTCAGGCTTGTACAGGCAAAGCACCTCATGAACAGCAGGCTGGAGGATTGTGCAATTTAGGGAACAGTTTTTCCATACAGTAAGATAAACTACGCTCCTGGTAGATACAGTAGACACAGAGGAGATGTCTCATCCATCAGCCTCCCTCTCCTAACGTTATATTTCATCCTTGTGGCAGAAGCTACAGAGAATTACATTCTCTTGTTTGCAGGTTTTTTTAGGGTAATGCAGAAGGACATAAAAAAAATGACCATGCCATTACTGTATCTAAAGGCACAGCACAGTGACCCACAGCGTGGGGAAGGGGTTGTCTGTGGGTTCCTCAAACCCACACCAAGCCATCACCTGAGACTGAAGGATGTGGACAAGGAATAAGGCAAGAAGAGACCCTCCACTTAAATCCTGTCATCTCACAGTGGGGCCACCACATTTTCACCACACACTTGCCAACTGAGCCAATTCTCTTCCCCAGACCACACTACAGTTCAAATTCAGAGACACCCTAAAAATCAGTGGCTCCTCAGATCTTGCTACTGGCAGCAGGGAAACTGACCAGGAACAGAATCCTAGAATACCAGAATGGTCTGGCTTAGAAGAGGCCTTAAGGATCACCTCGTTCCAACCCCTTGCCATTGGCAGGGATGCCACTCGCTGGAAGATTGCCCAGGTCCCCATTTAAGCAGCCTTTGAACACTTCCAGGGACAGGGCAGCCACAGCCTCTCTGAGCAAGTGCTGTTCATCAGGTTCTCACGGTCATTTGCAATGGAAGCAAAGACAAAACTGTTCATCTTACATTCATAAAACTTAAGAGAACACACGCTTGTAATCACACAGGTCTGAAATATCAAGGAGAAACTACCTGGTAATTGCTTGTCAATGAAAACATGATATCCAAAGCAAGTTTATTAGCATACTCAAGAATACCTCAAGTAACTGGATGTTCCTTAATTCCCCATGGGGGTATTTTATTATACCTGATATGTCCATAGTCCAGAAGTTGTCCTGGTAAGTTCAGCTCCCTCATAGCACTCCACTTCATCAAGCAATTTCTGACTATTCCTTAAAAGCAACTATGCTCTCACCTCCACATATGCAAGCTTAAGCTTCCATCAATTACCCGGGCTTGCTGTAGATTCACCACTCTTTTCTCAAGCTTAATTTGGGAAGGAAAAATCAATAAAAAAGGTTCTCTCCCAAGGGAACGTTAATGTAACAGTCTTCCAGGGTATTAATTACAGTAAATTAAGCATTATATTGATGTCAGTCAAAAGAAGGTATTTCAGAAGATTAGATGGATTTCACTGAAAGAACTGTTGATATTCCCTGTCTAGACATCAGTGAAAAACAGCATTGTGCTGACATCACCCACTGAGGAGAATGAAGAGGATAAAAATACCCTGCATCAGCATACCAGGGAATTTAAAACAAAAAAAGTTACCTAGAAGCAAAACAATGCCTGAAAAAATAATAATTTTGAAAATAAATCAGTGTTTGTTACTGCAACTCACAGCATCATACTACATTCTTTTTGAGATGCAGTAAAAATTGTACAGCAAAAAGAAAAATAAAGACATTCTACTGAAACAGTGTTACTGTTGCTGTTTTGGCTGTAAAGTGCTAATTAGATCAGCACTTCATCAAGTGCACACAACTACAGTGCTGATACCTCTCTCCCACTCTGTGTAAATTGCCTTAAATGCTAGCTGAGCTTGCACAGAGCCAGGACACTCAGTGACCTCTCAAGATCACCGTTTTCTTCTGCTTCTCCACCAAAATAGTCACCTAGCCTACCACCCAGCTGAAAAGTACAACTGACAAGAATGAGATTCGCTCTCCCACAAGACAGCAAAGAGGCTGTGAAGTAGGGAGTTCCTGCTTTGTTTACCTGTCCCCCTGTCAGTCAAGTCCCGAAATATTTTCCATGAAGGCAGCAGCAAAGGGAAAGTAGCATTCCAGCTGGCCTCTTAATAACTCTGCTACAGCTTAAGCCACCACAGTCACTGTGGAGATCAACACAGGACAGAAGGCAAGAGGAAATAGAAAGAAAAGGTGCCATTTAGGACAAGAAACACGTCAAAAGAAGGCTTGAGATAAGGGAAACACATACTTGTGGAAGACTAGCAGATCTCTCACAATGCAAGTTACTGAAGCCAAAACTAGGAGGTTTAGGGGGAGGCGGAAAATGGAAACTCTAAAAAAAATATTATTTTACTGTCAAGAGCTCAACAGTCAGTTCACCAAAAACAAACAAACAAACAAACAAAAAAAACAAAAAAACCAACCAACCAACCAAACAAACAAAAAACCCAACAACAAAAACCCAAACAAAAAAACAAACAACAACAACAACAACAACAACAACAAAAACACAAAAAAAAACCAACCACAAAACCAACAAACAAACCAACCCAACCAAAAGACTACCAAACTAAGACTAAGTGATACAGAATTCTCTATTTTAGTGTTTAAACCTCGCTCTCCAAATACTCCTGAAGGTCAAGACAGGAAGTGGTACAAGAATACAAAAGATGTACCTACTGCATGGCACTCTTGCAGCTCTGAAGGAGCCAGAGAGAAAAATAAATGGACAGTAGATCTGAAAATTGCTGTTAAAATAAGAGTCTGGGCGAACAAGTACTGGAAAATCATGAACTGCCCAAGACATTTCTAAGGCCACTGGAGCAGACATGCTGTTGAGGGTGTGTTTGACAATGCAACCTGCAAAGAATTAAACCCATAGCTGGTGCAGCAGTAGCTGAATGGATTAGTAGCAGTCCTGTGTGTAGGAATTTTACCTTTGAGCCTTTGCTTGCAGTCAGCAGGTTCCAGAGCAGAGCAGAGCTTTTCCAGGTGCTCGTTCTCAGCACAGTGCATGACAAAGAAGAGCCTCCAAAGCATGTTGCTGGATAGTGTTCCGTAAGGCATCTCGGACATGAATAACCAGACTCCCAACCTGTTGGATTTGAAGAGGCAATTAGAAACAGTTTCACCATGAAAAATCCCAACATTTGAAAAGGAGACCTATGCACACATTTCTGCTATACAACAGAACTGGCAATGTGAGGATGTGTATTAGCACCTCAAATTCTGAGTTAACATCATTCTGAACTGAGCAAGTCCTCAGAGCTTCTGCCAGGTGCTACAATCAATGGCATAGTTCCTCCCCATCTTGATGCTACCAATGCACTGAAAAAATCCTATGTATTTCAGCTTTGTCTAAACCATTTAAGCATTTAAAGCTACTCCAAATCCCAGTTTCAAATATCTAACTCCTCCAAGATGCAGCCAGTATAAATCACATGGGACAACCCACCTTTTGGCCTTCAGAACATGTAGAACAGCCCTAAAAAACAGCTCATCAAACTCCAGTTGCAATTTTTCCAGAGAGTAGGGATGTGCTACTGATCCATATTGTCTGTTGGCACTAACATACTGGGCCCAGTGGTCACTCACATGACAAAGTGTCATCCTACACAGCAGAACAAACAAAGTCAAAGTGGGATCATTAAGTATGTCATCACCACATGAAAACATAGACAAGGCCAACCAGAACAGAGTCCGGTCACAAGAGACATGGCCCTCTGCCTTCCAGAGATTTCTGCAGAAATTCCATTAATATAAAATTTCTGCATTCTCCTTCCTTGGTTTTGCAGGCAAACAATGCAAATTATTCTGTTATACCAAATTAATTTGTGTGTGACCTTCAGAGCCTTAAGATAACTGTACACAAGGAAATGGCAGTACATGCAGAAAGCTCATTCAAGAAAAATTATACTGAGAAAGTTACTGCTCACATAACACAAGAAGAAAAAAGGATTTTGTCACCAATTTAACTGTATTGCCTGTTGAGAACATGCTCCTAGAAGCCACAGCAAGGGACTGACAGAGATTTAAAAATAAAGAGCAACTTTTAGGTCTTGATTACATTTACTTTGGGTTTTTTGGTTGTTTGATGGTTGGTTCGAGGGGGTTTTTTGGCAGCTCTGAACTTTATACCGGGCCATACGAAACAAATTGACTCACATCACAGAGAAAATGTTCTCTTACTTGATGAGATGACCAATTCTCTTCACAAACTGCCGGTACCGTGCTCTGTTAAATGTTTCTAACCCCGCAGACAGAAGTTCCACTAAGGAGTTTGCAAAGGCAAAAATCTTCATCATCTCCTGGGGAGTTGTTTTCTCGGGAAAATAAGCACCTAAGACAAAGACAGAAAAATAAGACCAAAAAAGAGTGTTAGTTTTGGTTTTTTAAGTAACTTAAGAAGCACTCAAAGCAACCATTCACCATATGGCTGGCAAATAGTGCATTATTTGCCAGCTTTACAGTGAATTGAAATGTACATTTTTTTTTATGAAATGAACAATAACACCTGTTAAGTATCAAAGTACAAATAAACTATGCAGGTTATAAGAGACTTCCAGCAAGAAATTATCTTCATGCACTTGTCCAAAGATTTTGCAAAAAAATCGAGAAAAATCACAGTGAGATTACAGCTAAAAGGCAAGGGGGAAAACAGTTCTGGAAGCACTTTTGGGAGTTAAGTACCAACCAGATCCAAACTCAGGGAAAAGATTCCAATGTTGTGCATGCTAGTAATGTTGTACGTTTTTAATTCATATATACCCTTCCATATATCTCATCTATTTATTTAGCCTGTGAGTTGTTGCTCAGGTTCATTATTACTTCACTCACAGGGTCTCAAAATGCAGCAGTATTCTTGGCAGTGGTAGTCATTAATACAATTAGCACAAGCAAAATTAAGAATAGCTCTTTAGCAACTGATTTACCTCCAGACTTAAACCCGAGGAACTGCTGAAAGAGTTCATGGAATGGAAACTGTGACAACAGAGCAATCAAGTCGTCTTCTGAAAGCAGAATCCAGCTTGTTTCAGGATCCTCATCCTACAGACAAACACAGGTGCTTTCAGTAGGTTCACAATAAAACCAATGGTAAAAGTGCTTCACTACTGTATTAATTACAGTTTTGTAAGCAGCAACCCAAACGTTTTGAATTCTATCTGTTAATACCCATTCTAGGAAGCTCCACACTCTACAGGAATAAAAGCAGAGTAAAACAGAAGTAAATTTCAAATCATGCTTTTTAACTTAAAAAGCCAGTTTTTCTTCATCTGTTTCACAAGGATCAATAAGCTTGAGCAAAAGTGTAAAAGGAAAAAAAGAGAAACAAAAGTAAGTCATCTGCTGTACCTCTTCTCCTCCTTCATCTACAAGGGTCCAGTTCCCAGATTCCTTCCCAGACGAAGAGGAACTTTTCCTTTCACTTGGTTTCATATGGCACATGAAGTCCACACGATTTCTGGTTTAAAGTGAAAAATCAAGTGTAAAAAAATGTAGAGAATCAAAAACCTCTGAAACATCTTTAGTTAAGAGAAGATATTGGAAAAAAAAAACCAAAAACCAGATACAAGAACGAGAAACTAACAAGTGCAGCAGGAAGCTGCCCAAGCAGAAAAGGTCCTGTGGGTGCTGGTGGCAGCGGCTGGACACGAGCCCAGGTGTGCCCAGGGGGGCAAGAGGCCAATGGCCCCGGGGCTGTCCCAGCCGTGGTGTGGCAGCAGGGCCAGGGCAGTGCCCTCCCTGTGCTGGCACTGCTGAGGCACCTCCAGTGCTGGGGCAGTTCTGGGCCCTCAGACAAGAGAGACATTGAGGGGC